GCCGGATAACGTTTCCAATTTGCATGAACATCTCTATCGTCTCCCTGGATATATATTTTTAGAACAATCTACACTTTGAAAATACCAATCTCACATTTTACTCTCACGCAAAGAATGAACAAAAGTTTCGATTCCATCTATTACAACTCCATCGAACCCATGCTTATGACACAAATTGGCAATTTTNTGAGCCGTCTTCTGCACCAAAGTCTCCTTTTTAACAAAATAATCAGCTGTCTCGTCTCCGAATTTTGTGAAAAAGAAACGCGGGACTATCTTTATATCCGGATTGGATTTTCGGAGGGTTCGAATGAAATCTCGATTTATATCGTTCTCCCCACGAATCACAACATTTTCCACCCGCTCCAGTCCAAAGGCAGGTCCGGAGTTTTTTTTCCTCGGAAATTTTCTTCTCCGGAATTTGCGGGGTCACTGGATTTTTACCACTAAAAAGCAAGCGCGCTCCACCGCACATGCCAAATAATTTTTTTTTGCAAGTTTCTCCGTTTTCTCTTTATCGTCGCATCATCTTCAGTCGTTTGCCAAGTCATTTTTTTGTTTTTCCATAGAATACTTCGACCTATTTTTCACAAAATACAAACATGTGACCTAATTATCGATTTTTCAGAAAATGGATGGGATAAGTTTTCTGCTAGTACTCTCCACTGCGATGTTCCTTGGCAGTTATATAGCCGGTTCGATACCACTCATGTTCAGTTTATCAGAAGTAAGGTTTTGGTATTTTCTTTCCAACTAAAAATTTATTCGTTTCGCTTTTCAGGGCCGGATACGATTAGTGAGTATATTCGGCGCTGGTTTGCTCGTTGGAACTGCACTTTCTGTCATAATCCCGGAAGGCGTCGAAGCATTATATGGAGCTCAATGTGGTAAGTTTTACGCTTTTCAAATTCGAAAAAAGCTGATTAGTTCAGCTGCCGGTGGTCATCAGCATCATCACGAACACCCAAATCGAGTTGTCTCAAACGTCGGAGCGATTGTAAATCCAGCTGAGGCGAAGCAGATTCTCGAAAATGCAAAAGACAAAGAAGATAATCTCCCGCGAATAATTCCGAAAGATGCAGTATTGAATGAGGCGTAAGTTTTTTGTGCTAAAGAAATGACCGAAAAATATTTTCGAGGGATTCTAATTTGTCAATAGTTTCAGTATCGGAAGAGTTGTTCGCTCGCCAACCGAGGAAACCGCTGAAAATCGAACGAAACGAGATGTGATAATAGAAAATCATTCGATAAATGAGGAAAATGAAAAAGACAACCAAGAAGAGCATTCGCATGGTCATGGAAATGTACATTCCCAAATTGGATACTCGTTAGTACTTGGTTTCGTGTTGATGTTGCTCGTCGATCAAATCGGGAGTGCGACAGTAGCAAGAAGTGAGTAAAAACACTTTGTGAAGAAAAAAAGTTTATTAATTTCGCCTATAAAAAGAAGTTTCCAGATGACCGATCTGGACGGAGTCGAATCGGAATTTCAGCAACTATTGGATTAGTTGTTCATGCAGCCGGTTAGTTTTTCTCTGTACTTCATTTTTCTTGTAAAAAGAATACATAATCTTTCTACCTAACTAAAATCATCGTTCCAGCTGATGGTGTCGCTCTTGGAAGTGCATCAGTAATCAACAAATCCGACGTCCAACTCATCGTTTTTGTCGCCATCATGCTTCACAAAGCACCAGCCGCGTTTGGCCTCGTCTCATTTCTTCTCATGGAATCAATTGATCGGCGAGCGATACGCAAACATCTCGTTGTGTTTTCAGCTGCTGCTCCCGCTGCCGCACTCATAACATTTGTTATTATTATGCAGGTGAAAATTCAGAGAATAAACAATTTACACTAATAAAAGTTATTCCAGATGGGCGAGTCAATGCGATCAGAATCGTCGACAGGTGTGCTGATGCTCTTCTCAGCTGGCACGTTCCTCTACGTGGCTACAGTGCACGTGCTTCCAGAATTGGTGAGTTTGGGTGGGGTGAGAGCGAAGAATAGGGTTAAACTCGAGTTTAGTTATTTATTTGTATTCGGGCAAAAATTACAAAAGGAATTTAGCAATCCGATTATCGGGTGTTCTTCCGGAAATAGCAGAAATGTCAAAGACTTTTGAACATTTGGTAAAAATTAAAAAAAAGGAATTTCAGGCAAACAACAAGCAAACAGAATACTCGCTCGTTGTTGATGCGACGTCACCATCTTCAATAGGTCATTCTCACTCGGCGGGACCCAGCTACACCGTCAAAGAACTACTATTGATAATTAGTGGAGCTATTGTTCCAGCAATATTAGCATCTGGACATTCTCATTAAAAAAGAAAGTAACAAAATCAGTTCTAGTGTATTTACATAATTGTGTGTGTATGTGAGCTTTATATTGAATTCTAACATCATCAAGATTTCCCAGTTTTTATCCTCGTTCTTTTCTCTCCCATAGTGATTTGATTTCTATCCTTTCTAGCTGTTTTTCTTGTCTGTTTTCTCGATTTTCCCCGTCCTTTCCACTTCTGTTTTCTCTGCTTATGGGTACTGCACTTTTTTTCATTTTCCTGTACATATAATTTTTCGGCATATTCAAGCATTTTATTGTTACTGAACACTTTTAAATACAAAAAAAACAAGTCTCAGGACAAATATTCATTCACACAATTGAAGAAAAATGCAGTTCTATCACTTCTTCTTGTCCGGCACTTCATTCTCATCCGAATTCGTCAACGTCTTCTTATGTTCATCTTTCGCATTGGCATCATGCGCTGGAATTGGTGTCAAAGAAGCTCCAGCTGGAGTCGTGGAATTGGGCGTCACCAATTTGTTCGGGGTCTCTCCCCCGGCACCCTTTCCAGAAGTTTCTTGTGTTTCTGTCTGCGTCTTTTTCAACTGTGGATCACAATTGTTGTCCGGTTCGGAATCCGTTTTTTGGACAGGCTGAAGTTTTGAATTTTGCATACATATATTCTCTCAACAGATGAAAAGAGTTCTAAACTTACTATAACAGCTTCCGCAGCAGGGGCGTCTGGATTCAGAGGTCCTTTTTTCACTTTGGCCTTGTTTCTTTTCGATTCGGTTGTTGTTGAATCCTTTGTTTTTGTTTTGGAATTGACTTTTGTTAGCCTGTTTCCAGATTCCTGCTTTCTAAAATTTCAGGAAATTTAGATATACCCAAACATTGACCTACTTCTCATCCGACTTTTGCTGTTGAGCTAGATTGTTGCCCTCTTGTTTCTCTTCTTTTTTCTTCTTTTCCTCATCCAACGATCCCTCTTGAACCGGTAACACATATCCTTCTCTGGATCCAGTGTACGCATTGTTATCGGGTTCCTCCTTAATATTTGGAACGGCATTCGAAGCTGAACCATCATTAATCGGTGCATGGGTCTCATGACAAAGTGATGCTTGAGAACAACTGAATTCGAAAGATAATGTGAAAATCTTATGCCAAAAACGAACCTCATAATAGCTGCAACCCACAATCCTGCATCATTTCCACTGGTTTTAAATACCAATTCCATCCGTCTATCGGTGACCAATTTCATCGTAATCACACCATTATTGTCTCTTTTCGCCTCGCACGTCTTCAGACTATTCAATGGAAACGTCCTTCCTATCAGCGGTTTCCTGAAAATATGGGGTCTTCTTTATCATCAGTTGGTGCACAGTTGAGGTGTACATCATAAATATTATCCAGGAACATTTATGATGTGCACTTTTCCACTCAACCCTGCACCAATTCCTTTCAAGAAGTACGTGTATATGTGGAGCTTCGGTTCTTCGTCGGTTCGAATCAAAACCGCTGTTCTCTTTTCCCAAGACTTCCGTCCAGTTTTCACTTCCACGTAACGACATCCAGAGTTTGGTGTTGAGCAAAGAATGTGCTAGAGTTTAAATTTTTAGAATTTTGAGAATTTCGGGTTAAAACTGACCTGCTCAGGCAGAGGAATACTTTTAGGCTTGCTCGTGCACATCTAGCGTAATATTTACCAGTATATCAAAAATCGATTCACAGATTAGATTATGAAAAGATTAGAAATGATTTTTTGGAGCCAGTGGAGTGTTTAGATAGGAATTCAAGTTTATCACGATATGTGTTTTTGAAATTCTTTTTATTGAACATTGTATGAGATTACAGACCTTTAAAGATTACAGTATTAATAAGTCAACAAGCTTTGATCAGTGGCGGGAGGCGGTGAAGAAGAAATCTATAATTTTCAGCTTCCTCATTATTATTTTTTTCGATTGTGGGTTTTCCCAGGAAGTAGGTAGTTTCATCAGATATCAGTGTTTCGTATTCCTAATCCCCAGTAATTTTATTTTTGAAAATTGAGATCACCAAACAAACAAAAAAGTATTTATAAATTCAAAAAGTGAACATCGGTGATATGAGCAAAGGTACCATTAGAGTGTTTTTTCAGTCAAGATAATTGAAAGATCATGTTTTTGGAAAGTAAGAAAAAATAAATGAGCTAGGATCTTGCGACCTTTGCAATTCCAATTGTTCCACATGCCAGTGGTTTCTCTCCAAAGTGTGTCCGCAAACTCCATTCTGCTGTGGAGAATCTAAAAATTGAAAATTTGAAAATAATTTCAGACTTTTAAACTTACGAATAGATAACCAACGCTCTTCCAACTACATCCGCTACTGGCCAATCTACGATTCTATCGAATTTTCCGGTTTCTGTGATATCTCCTAATGAAGGGCTCAATGATTTAGAGAATGGAGCACCGACTCTGGAACATCCTTCGGACGAGTCACCAAATTGATGGAGGACAACTGCATGACGTCCAAGAGGAAGTGAGTACACTTCTCCGTGGATTCTCAAAGCTGTTGTTGTCAGTTGTGCAAATGTGAACCGTCCGATATGTTGGCCTTCTCGGGTCATTAGGATGGCTACAGCTATCTGTATGAACCGGTTGATATTTAGGTTAGATGCTTCTCTTAAATATAATATACACTCACCACATCATCGATCCATGGGTCTTGTGGAGTGATCTCTCTAATCGTTGCGAATCTCATTGGCTCATCCATACTCGCTGCCACTGGAGATATTCTCATTCGATTAGTCGTCGTGGAGCCCAACGAGCTTGAACAACTTTCTCTTGGAACACATGGAGCTGTTACGTCATTCCTGGCTCTCACGAATCCTGGAGCACAGTGACATCCTGCACTACACGTCCCGGAGCACACAGGAATAGACGGTTGACCACAATATTCTGGGCACAAAGTTCCACATGATGACCAGACAGCATGATTATCTGGGCAGACACATCGTTGAGGATTCACTCCAAGAGACACGATCATCGGACGACAACATCTTTGTTCGACAGGACAATCCATATCAGTTCCACATCCTCGACCACCAACATCAAATGTGGTGGCAGGACATTCGGATTGTGACACTGTTGGTTTTAAAGCCAAAAGGTCGGAGTCAGAGGAAAATGGGTGGCCTCGAGGTTCAGCGATTACAGTAGTTGCTGGTGGTTCTGGAATATATATATATATATATTTTGTCTGAAATCCCGACTCATTCTTAGAATAGTACCTTCCGTAGTTGTCGTCGCCGTGGTCGACGTAGTTGTGGTGGATGGCTCCGTAGTGGTCTCCTCTTCTGCTGGACACTCTTCTATTCTGACACATTTCGATGTATGCCACGTGGCAGAGTTCTCAAACACCAATCCGTTCTTACAGAAGCATCCAGTTTGACATGGTGCACAGTTCTTTGGATGTCGATTGTCACATCCCATAGGACAAGAACTTCCACACGTCATGAATTCTTTTGTGGGATCTTCACATCCACGATCACATTCTGCAGGAAGAACACATCGAGAAGTGGGATCATTAGGATGAAGAAGCACATATGGCTGCCGACAGACACATCCTGCAAAGCATTGTCCGGAGCCACATCTACCCAATGGGTTCGGACATGATCTTGAGCAATGTAGAGCTCCACACTGACTCCATTCTTTTCTGGGGTCTGGACAAGATTGACTTGCAGGAAGATTGGCAGTTGATGGTGGAATATTCTTCCTAGGGCACAACTGTGGAAGAATACACGTGGAATTGGGATCATTGGAATCAGCAAGGACATATGGTAGTCTACAGAAGCATCCGGGCTCGCAAGAAAGAGCACAATCAAGAGAGGCAGCTTGTGAGAGAGGACGGTCACAGGATGCAGGACACTTGCTCCCACAGCTCTGATAGTTTTTGAGTGGATGTTCACAGTGTTGCTCCGGAATGAGAGTTGGAAGTTTTTGAACAGGAGTCGTATGTGGTAAGCTCCTAGGAGTTGTAGCGACTGTTGGAAGAGTTTGTGGCAGTCTAGGAGTCGTTGGGTATTGAATGTTCGAATTTCCAAACGTTCCTATCATTTGAGGATTTCTTTGAACAAACTGTTCAACGATTTCTGGAGCTGGTGTCGGGAGTTCTGGACATTCAGAAGGAAGAATACATCTCGAGTGGAGCGGATCTTCAGTGTTCTCCAAAATGAATGGAATCTTGCAAAAGCATCCAGTGACACATCTCTCATTACATCTTGGCTGATTTCTCGTGGCACAACTAATCGGACAAGCACTTCCGCACGTTTGATATTGTCTTCGCTCGTCTGCACAACGGATTGTTAGATCGTATGCTTGACAAAGAGCTCGTGGAACACATGCTGACCTTGGTGAGCTATCACGTCTGATGTAACCTGGAAAAAGCAATTATTAGGATAGTTTTACATTTCAACTACTTACCTGGAAGACAAATGCAACCTGGATGACATCCTGGAGCTGGGCACGCTGGGGTTGATGGGTCTTGACACGAAGGCTGACAAGAGGAGTAACACGCAGAGTACTGCTCATTAGCACCGCAAACCATGGAGATTGCAGGATTTACTGAAACTCAAAAGATTATGTTCTGACTTGGTAAACTACGAACTTTCGTTAGAAACTGGCTCATTCATAATTTTAGTTAGCGATGGTAAGCAAGCGTGATAGTTAGGGTTAGTGATAGAACCAGGACAACATTTAGTCCCTGCCTCGCATTCAGAATCACATAAGCAACGAGTTAAAGTGGTTATGGATGTGTTTAGAGGAAGGGGACATTCTCCGGGTGAGACACTCTTGCAAGTCTGAAAAAATGTTTTTTTTTCAATTTGGAAACTCGACGAACCTCTCTCGTTGCTTTTGCTCTCTCAAAAGAGCAGCAGCTTTTAAAGCAAGATTCTCCTGCTTCCTTCGTACGGTTTCACATCCCTTCTCATCTTTACTTTCTTTTCCAGTTAGCCTTCTTCCATATCTGGTTACACACCAGCATACATCAGTTCCAGCGAGACATTGTCTGAAATTTTTTTAGTGAGAAAGGCAAATGATTAAGGTTAAATCAGGAATCAAACCCGGGACCTCCAAAACCCAATCAAATATTACGTACCTTCTTCTCCACGCTAATCCGCTCTCTTCACAGAGTGGAATTGCTTGTCCAACGATTTCCAAGGACCGTAATTCGTCAAGAAGTGCCCTCCTCCTCATTGCACATGCTACAAAAATTGCTTTTTGTTATCAACCATTCAATTGTGTGCGTCATATTGCGTAATTAGTTTTCTTCTCGAGTTTCCATGATTCGCATACAAATTACATGTGAAGAGCTGAGATGCGTGTATGTACTGGATCAAGTGGGTTTATTTCATATTTGGAGCAAGAGCTATGGACACTAATCTCTATTATAAACGTAAGTCCGCACATTAGTTCTAAAGTCGGTATTGTCTATTCAGAAAAACCATCAAAATCCCAGGCCCAACAACGAAGACAAATGGAAAACTTTGAATTTTCCCAGTTGGCAAAAGAACTTCCGTTGGCCAGGGCAATATCAGGTCAGCATATTGATAAAACTACTATGGTTCGATTGGCAACGGCCTACATCAAATTGTACAATATTTTCGGACAATCAAGAAGAGCATACACTAACGCGGATTACTACTATGGAAGTGATTCCAATTGGACTAATAATCATTTGGATGTAAGGAATGCATCGAAATGGGATCTATTCATTATCTTTTCAGTTGTTAGATGGCTTCTTTGTGATTTTGGATCGGCGTGGAGATGTTTTGTATATCAGTGAGACTATCAGTATCTATCTCGGCTTGTCGCAAGTTGAGATGACAGGAAACCCAATGGTCGATTATATTCATGAGCAGGATGTCAATTGTTTCAATTCGGTTTGTATCAATAGTCTTTCTCGTATATACTCTTTTGTTCTAGGCTCTCAATTACTGTGATCGTTACTGGCCTCAAATGTGCAACGTCCGTGTGAAATCAAGTCTCACAAAACGGGCTAACAAAGACGCCGTGCGAGCATCTCCTGGATACAAAGTACTCCGTTTAGAAATCACGATGGGACCTAATCCTAATACCCGAATGATTGCTTGCTATCCCATGCCTACCCCTGTCTTATCTACCGTCACCATATCTTGCAACTCCTTCGTTATCATTACCTCAATTGACTTACGTATCACTTATGCTGATGAAAAAGCTCATCAGCTTCTTCGAAATACTTACTATCCAGACTCAAACATCAAGGGACTTTCCTTCTATACTCTGATTGATGTTTCCGATTCAGATGTCATTTCCAAAATGCATTTTGATATTTTCAATCTAGGAGCTTATAAGACCCCCTACTACCGAATGATTCTGAACCAAACTAGTCAAACTTTTTATGTTGAGTCGAATATTTTTCGTCATACTTCGATTTCTTCGAAACAATTTAACGACTCGATCACATTTGTTTCTTCTATTCTATGATGACCTCCAACATTCTGTTTTTTTTCAATTTCCTCTTTTTTTAATGTCTTTTTTTATGTATTTCGAAACAAACATTGAAACTTTTTTCAAATAAAGCAAACTCACTTTTACAACATTTTCCTTCAATACAGAGTTCTTCCTCATGCGTACAGTCTTCATCTCTCGAGCATCTTCTGGACCATCTGGAGTCATCGGGACAAGGTTCCTCAGCCGGTGGATCCGATTTTGTTTTGTTAGAGGTTTTAGGTTTAGGGCTAGTGGCTGAGATCGTGCATGGTTAGATTTTTTTAGCAATGGATTAGATGACATTTTTTAAATTCAAAACTTACGTTCTCTTTGGAGAGAAAATGTTGGTAGGGTATTAGGACAACAGAATCCATTGTCGCAGATCTCGCCAATAAAACAATCATCTTGCATTCGACATCTATAGTAGGAATATCTATTATCTGCACAATGTCGACATGATCCTTCTGCTTCACATAGTCCTGAAAGAGTGAGCTTGCGTCAAAAACAAAGCGTCAAAAGAGAAAACCTACTCAATTGAGCATCTACACCAATTCCAGTTGAACCAAAAAAAGTTAAAATCAGTAAAATATTCCGCATCTCCTTGACGAAGTCACAGATGGCGTCGTTCGTCGTCGTTCTTCGAAAATCTCACTTTCTTTTATTTGACCTACAAATAAAAGCGTTTCGTGTGCTCGGGAAAAGGTATCGAGGAAGAGGGGGTGCAATTATGAAAAGACAGGGGGTCCCTTTCTTCTGATTGCCTCCCCGATCCTATTGTGGCAGATGAGGGAAAAAGGGAAGACGGGTGGTAGAGGTGCGGCGGCAATAAATCAGAGGTTGTTCGACAAATTAGCGTTCGTTTCTGGACAGGGGACAGGTGGGTAGGTAGGGTTGTGGTAAGTGGATTTTGACAGACGGTTGGTTTTAGTGGTTATTGTGGCTCATGAAATTGAACCGAAATGATGATTAAATGGAGACGATGACAGGAAGTGAAGCAGGATAGGGAAGTGGGAATTTGAGAGAAAAGAAGGAGAACAAACATTTCAGATGAGGATAACATATTACAGTATCAACCAAATTTTAAGATAATTAATTAATGAAAAATGAAATTTAAAAACTTGGTTCAATTATTATTCTGGGACAAAAAGGACCAATGGAAGATAAATGATCTATTTCTGTACGTTTCCAGTCAGTTTTTTACTGGCAAAATTTTTAATTTTCCGACTTTTTTTGGGGAAAAATAACCGAAAAATTGCCGAAAAGCAGTGAAAAACGAGAAAATAAATCCTGATTTTAAAAATAATTTTAGGTTACTGTGATTGCCGTTGTTAGATCTTCAGCTACTTTCACCGACGTTTCTCTTCCGCCGCGCCGATTTTTTGTACCAGTATAACAGTTTTCGATGGAATTTTTTCGGAAAAATAATGGAATTTTAAGACACTATGTGAACACAATTTTTCACAATCAACAACATCTGATCTCGAAACTTTAAAAACACACACCATGTGTGTGTTTTTAAAGTTTCGTTTTCAAAACATTTTGTTGTCAATCACTTCCCTCTATTGCCTTTTCGTCCACCCCTATTTCCCGCCCATCAACAGTCCCGACCTTGTCCATCGGACAACCTGTGTCTCATTTTCCCCCACCTCCATTCAGTTGGGAAGACCGTGTCTCTAAGCTTCATAATCCGACCTTGAGGGGGTCAACCAGAAAGGCACCTATTACCGCTTCCGCCTCGACAGCAATGCTACTAATACTGCCAACATTTGGAAAAGTTGATGATGATGATGACGGTGCCATGAAGATGGACAGACTAGGTTTTTGTTCCATTTTGAAAAAAAAATCAAAATTGCTGGTCTTAAAGGTCAACAAAAAAATAAAAGTGTTCTCCGATGTTCTGCAATTATCCAAGAAAAAAGTCAGATAAAATCTATTCATTCGATCATTCAGTATAAAAACCCGTTATCATAAAAACATTCTGAAAGAGAAACTGGAAAACTTTACAAAAACATAAAATCATGATATTTGAGATCTGTGTGTTTGTTTAGCCATCAATTGGATATCACAAACCATTTTGAAGAAGCCAGTTAGTGGAGAACTAGTCGAGGCACAATCGAAATCTCGGATGGAATTTGATGGAGTTTCTGTGGATACTGTAAAACTAGCAGTAGTACCAGCAGCCGGGGATGATGTGACATAGGTGTCCCCTCCTCCGACAGTTGATATTCGAATCGGTGGTTGTACGGTTCCTTCGGTTTCTGGATATGAATCTGGACTTATTGTGTATTCAGGTGGAGTTGTTGTTTCAGAGGATGACGTCGTGGGTTCAGACGTTATTGGCTCAAGGGTTCCATCTGACGAAACAGTGTAGACCGATTCTGTAGTCGTGGAAGCAAGCGGGGTGGATGGTGTTGTCGGATCAGTGGGAAGAATTCGAGTTACTTCTGAAGTTGATGCAGAGCTTCCAATGGTCGAAATCCACGTAACTTCAGTAGACGTCGTGAGAATTGGAAGTGTTACATCAGGAGATGTCATCGTCGTTCCATCTGGATAATCTGTGGTGCTGCTATCCGTGGAGGTTGTGATAGGTTCAAGGGTGAAGTCTGGTGTTGGGAATGCCGAAGTTTCAAGAAGTGGGTCTACGGTAGATGTGGATTCAGAGGGCTCGATCGTAGAAGTCATCTGGTCAGAAGGGGTCGGGAAATCAGTTGGTATCATCTCTGTAGGGGGAGTTATAGACTGCAATGTGGATTCAGATGTAATATATTCTGGTGATGTTGCTTCGGACTCTAATGTTGTCATTAAAGGTGTCGTTAATTTTTCCCCAGATGTAGTACTTTCCGATGTAGTAGATGGTTCCGTCGGTGTTATAGTTTCCAAAGTAGAGTCAACAAAAGTAATAGTTGTACCAGTAGAAGTTGAATCGTCGCCGCCAGATGTGCTGGGGTGTTTTGTCGTAGTGTCATCTACTCCATTTGTGGATGACCACGTAGAAGATTCGGTAAAAGATGTTGTGCCTTTCGAAGTAGCATACGAAGAAGAATACCAAGAAGATGAATCGGTGGTTGTTGCATAACTTTCTGATGTATGATAATCCGATGATGTGGATCCTCCTGATGTACTCCACGATTCAGTAGTTTGCCAATTCGAAGTTGTTCCATCAGTTTCAGAAACAGTCGAAGAACTTGGAGATTCTGTGATGGGCGATGGAGTAAAGTCGATAAGTGTCGTGGAGAATGTTGTCATAAGAGACGTTGGTTCTGAAGATTATTATTTTAGATTTCGTTCCATTTGTTACAGCTCTTACGTGTTGTTGTGAAGACAAACGTCCTTGGTGTCAAGATGGTGGGAGCAGGAATATAATCTCCAAAATGAAGAATTGGTGTCAGGTTTACTGTACTGAACAGAACACAATCTCTTCTTTGACCTCCATTATTTATCGCCACTGGTACTCTGGTAACTCTCCCTTGGGGGTCTCTCGCCTCTAGAACCACACAATATTCCAGTTCATTGCTTAGTGGTTCATCAGAATCGTAGAATATTCTCCCGGTTTCTGAATCTACTGAAAATCGTTTGCTGTTATCTGGAGCGTATAAGAAATAGGTCAGATCTTCTGAGGAGTCGGCTTCAATTTGGCCGATTTTTGTGTTAGGTTCCAGGTGATTTTGTGGAATTTCTATTCGGTATTGAAGTTGTTCAAATGAGGGATTCTCGTCTTCTACAGACGCATTCGGGTCAGAAAATTGAAGCTCATAGAACATCTGTTGAGATGGCGATAAGGATCCAGGGTCAATCCAGTTGAGCATTTGATTTCCCTAAAAAATGATATTTCAATTTCATTCACCAGTTTTTTTTCAAACATTTTCCTCTGACATCCATTGCACAGCTTGTAGCTCCCTTGGTCTAGTTCCTCCTCTATCTACGATCGAGACCAGCTTGTACATTTCATGAACCTCTGGAACTGGCATTCGGGCCCATAGTGCCCCACCGAAACTTGTTGACTCTCTGAAAAAACTTCCTGGTAAGGATACTCAAAACAAAACTCACGGATTTCTAAACGCCGCCACAAAACTTTTCATGCTCGGAGACGAAGAATTCACTTTTTGGATCTGAAAAAAATACTTCTGGCTAAGTGTTACAGTGAAATCCTACCGATAGAAATTCTAACTTGATGACGTTAACCATTTGAGCTGCTGATGGACGGAAATAAAATAATGGAACTGATTGGTTGGGTGTAGCTAAAAGCATCCCGAAGTCAGATATTCCTGCAGCACGGATCGCATAAGTTTCTGTGGTTTCCAAGGGTAACAGCTTCTGATTTTCCAAACAAGTCAAATTCATAGATGAAATCGGAACAATGGTATTATCACTATCTTTCATCAAGATTCTGATCAACTGAGTAGATCCACTCGGAATGTTTGAGAATTTAGGAGTGAGAGTCTTGAATGTAAGCTTTCCATTCACAAATACAGAATCTAATCTTGGTGTGACGGATCCCGAATGTTTCAGTTCATTCATCTTGATTTCTACTTCTTTCAGTGGTGTGTAGCCGTGATTAATGATCGCACTGATTACAGAAAAATCAGTTCCTTCTTTGGGCGATAAGCTATCCTTGATGATGTTGATAGCTCGAATGGTCTTCTTGGGAATCACTGAAACTTCAGATGCGAATAGTTTCTGTTGGGTCAGACGGCCCATTGAAGAGAATGAAAAAATGATGATTGGCTGGAATATAATTGATTAACATCTAAATGGGAAATAGTGCCCTTACCTGATACTTTGCGACTGTTGTTAGTCGTCGTGGCGCAGATATAAATCGAGTCCAGTGAATCTCAAAAGATGATCCAGCTTCGAAAGATCCAAGACCAGTTAGACTTCCGATTCCTGCAGACCAGGATGGGCCAATGTTGAAATTTACAGCAGCAGTTTTTGATTCAGACTTGACAAAGGATAATGTGACTCCGACGTTTGTAAGGGTGATGTTCTGAAATAAGAGTTCTCTTTTTTTTATTCGAGTGTAAATCTTACTGCTTTATTTTTTATAAATACTTGAATCCTCATCTGACCATCTTCTTCCACTTCCGTTTTATCAATGAATACTGTACTTGTCGCACACTCCTTTTGTTCGGTCTCTCCTGTTTCCAACATCCTTTCCATGTATCCATGCAACATTGCAAACGGATCTTGAGCCACGTTTTGTCTGGAGATAGACTTGATTCGATCCGCAGCTGATACCAAAAGTTTTGCATCTTGGTGAGTGATACCTACTCTTTCCTGTGGAATCTTTCCAGAGTTCCAGCTCTTCACAGTCAGATTCCATAATTGAACGAGACTAAATGCTTCTGCTCCAATGATTCTTCTCTCGGCTTCTGATATAAACTGTCCTTCATCTGAGGAATCAGCAATGGCTCCCAAAAATCGATCGACTGCATCTCTATCCAATGGTTCGATCACTTCTCTTGGGAATATTTTTTGCATTCTATCCACAAATTCAATAAAAATAGAAGATATTCTAATTGTCTGAACATCCAATGCATTGAGAACCGGAAGAACTTTTCCAAAGTCAGTATTCGAATTTAACTCGTGGATAATACCAAATGGAGAGTCGTTTTGCATCTGGACTACATCCCTCTTGTGTCTCCTGGCTCCAATAGGACAATCGCTTTCGATAGAAGCAACGCATTCCAAAGAATTTCGGAGCTCCGCGAAGTCCACAGAAACTTCTCTACACTCGAAAACCATTGCGAGGAATGAAGCGAGTACTTCTAGGGATACTGTATCATCCGCGATTTTGGCCCATGATCCACCGCATGCTGTTGCTGAATGATATCTTTCTCTGCATCGTGTTCTAGCTCCATCTCCACAATTGCACATAACAAGTGTTGAAGTAGCAGGAATAACTGCAGTGTTATCAGAATCACAGATTTGATTAGAATCGACTCTGAGTCGAATGAGAACGCTTGATGAACTGTGCATTGGAACTTGAGATTGACTGGATTCTGGGAGGAAAACAAATGGAACTTGGATATTTTTCACATCACAGGTTTTGGTCACTTGATTTGTCTCCCACGAGAAACTGATCCAGAAACTTTCATTGATGGACACAGATCTTTTAGATGGGGTCACCATGATTCCGGAAATTCCACCGTTCCATAGTCCAATGGTTCCTCCTAAACTTCCACGTGGTGTTACTAATATTTTCTGTCCGTTTGTTGTAACAACAGATGGTTGGAAATTAAATACCGGAAGTTGATTATCTGATGTTGCCACAGAAGTGATTGTCACGTCACATGAAGCTGGATCAGTGAAGTGAGAACAATGGATAGTAGGGAGATTTCTTGAACGAGAAGACACCAATGGGACACAGAAACTTGTATTCAAAGGGGACAACTCGATAATCGTTTCGACAGGTTCATGAAGTTCACTTCTCACCAACAAGCTGTATGTGCCTGGCTGTAGGGAAAAATCAGCCCATTGAACATTCAATCGAACATTTGTCTTGGTAACATCAATTCCTCTCTGTGGATTCTGAATCGCAATTGTTGCTGCTTCAGTTGATGCCAAAGGCCCTTCTTGCCCATCCCATTCATCTCGAACACAAATTTTGAAAGTGTAGTATTGGGATTTGTTAGAAGCTGCATAGAAATATGGAATCGTAGACATCAGGTTAGGTCCATCTTTCACTTGAATTGTTCCATTCCCAATCGATTCTCCGACTTTTGAAAATGTCATACGGAGAAATTTATCTTCTGGAATCACCACTGGGTTTTCGTCGAAGCTACCTTCAGAAATCACAACATTTGGACTGAATTCGAGTTCGGGAGGCCAATGAACTTTCACCTGCAAGTCATAGATTTTTTTTTCAAAATTATAATTCCTCAAAAATTTACCTCATAAAGATTTTCATTCCCGTATACACTGAGCACTTCAGGGGTTGTTGTCAAAATACCATTCTTCTGAATGGGAGGAGCTCTAACGATTTCCAGTGGTGAGTCTTCGCACTTCACTGTTGCTAGAACTTCCCCGTCCCAAAATCTTCCAAAATCCACAATTGTCTGGGATCCTTGACGCTCGATTTTTTGGTTTTCCAACTTTGGTTGAATTACTTTCACTTCACAGTTCTCTGGCCCAGTGATGTTCAGGCTAAGTGTAGAGTTTGAAGACTCTCCTGTCAAATGGAGATTCATATCAGGAATTATGAACCTGACAGGATGAATTGGATCAGATGGCACATTTGGATGAGCAATTGTGACTTCGTAAATTCCAGGCAACATTGGAATGTAATCAAAAGTCACATCTCCATTGACATCCGACTCTGCTAGGATTTCATCTACCGTGTCGTCTCTCCTCACTCGAATTACTACTGGTTTCTTTCGCATTGATGCTGCTGCAGGCCCAATCAGTTTTCCTCGGAGTCTTGCCACTCCTTCGTCAACAGTCACATTTTGAACTTCTACTGCATATTCTGGTTGCACAGTGATATTCCAGGCAATCTCAGTCTGTCCAGCGGGTGAAAAAGCTGTAACTTTAACTTCATATGGGTATGGAGAACCAATTGGTTCCGGCCAGGCCACTATTCCTTTTGAAGCAATGAAATTTAAATTTGGAATAGTTGAATTCACTCGCAGAACCGAAGAAGCCATCGTTGGGAGCATCAGAACATACGGGACACCTTCATACGCCGTGTTGGCTCTTTGATGCTCCAGAAATCGTTTGTCAATGCTCGGCAAAACTTCGATAACATCACAGAATATTCCAGTTTTTCCTTGTGGACAAATACAAAGCGGACCAATACAAGATCCTTGGCAAAGCGAAATTTCACATCCATCGTATAGAGTGAAATGGATCTGGAAAATTTAAGTTTATTGTTGAAAAATTGAAAAGTTGAATCTTACTGGTTTTGCTTCTGAATTTCCAATCACTTTGAAAGATTCAGGCTGTGAAACGCTGAAAACATGTCGACCCAGAGTCAGATTGGACGGAATCGGGCAACGAATAAGGGATGATGAAACTCTACGGCCAGTGACATTTGTTCTTCCGAAAGTGCACACATAGGAATTATTTGAAGTTCTGCAAAATCTATTTTTAAAACTCAAATGATCTATGGAAACATACATAGAAAACCCATCTCCAAAAACGTTGACCACTGCGTTCAGATCTTCGAGCTCAGCAGTGGATGGTTGAATATACTGTATCTTACTCGTGTCATCACATTTACCAGATGCACACACATCACAAGCTCCGCCCATCCATCCTCTCGAACAGGAACATGTTTTCGTTAGGTGCTCACAGACACCATGGTTGCAATCAAAATCACAAGCTTCGCAAGAGTCTCCAACACATTTCGAGCAATCCGATCCACCGTAATCTTCGAAACAAGAGCAGAATCCAGGTCGAATACATACCCCATTCAGAGAACAGTTTGCACAGTATGGAATCTGGCATCTAGAACCTTGCCATCCAGATTCACAGAGACATAGTCCATTTGATCCACAGTGGCCATGTACACAGTTTGAATCTTGACATGAAGTAATATCGCAAGTCTCTCCAATCCATCCCTGGTTGCATTCACATTTGTTTGGAGCTGAACATTTTCCATGTCCGGTACAATTTGTGACACATTTTGGGGTGGAACAATCGGATCCAGACCAGCCCTCATTGCACATACAAATGTTTAGCAAATTGCATAATCCATTTCCACTACAGTTACAGAAGAGAGGAATTGAGCAATCGAATCCAGTGTATCCATGTGGACAAATGCAGATTCCATCTCTACAGGTTCCACGTCTAGAGCAATATGCTAGATGAGCACATTTGATGTTCGCAGAGTCGGGCACAGTAACTGGAATTACTGTAGTGAGAGGATCAAGTTGGTTGTCTACAGATACGGTGGTGTATCCATAAGGAACAATAAGAACAGCTCCTTCTTTAGCATCAATCGTTTTTAGAACAGTTTCCTCGTCAAGGCCATTCCATTCATTAAATGTTGCATCGATAGGCTGGAATAAAAAGTTGGACAAACAGATAAACAGAGAGACTTACCGAGTCGTCCGAATACGCAATTTGATAATTGCTATTCTTGTTGTCAAAGTTGTTAGTCACAATCTTTACATTCTCTCCCGATATTTTAAGAACTGCTCCAGAATTAGAGTTATCGGTTAAAAAATTATCTGTGAAGTATGCATCGTGTACGTTTGTATCCAGAGTGACAGTATATATTCCACCGTTGTTGGTGAAGTTGTTCTTCACAAATTCCATAACTCCATTTTTTTTTTTCACATTGCTTTCAGATGTGACAACTAGCGTAGATCCGATTCCATCCGCATTGTTCTCATTGTAATTGTTTCTTTCCATCTGAAAAATAAGAAAATAAATGTTTGGAATTCTAACTCTAACTCTAACTCACTTGAAGATTTGCACAACTTCCCAACTGAATGTGTTGAACTATATCAGAATTCCTTTCAAATGAATTGTTATCCATTTTGATCAATTTCTCATTTCCATCATTACACTCCAAGGCAACTATTAAACTTGGAACATAATTATTTGAACAGTTCAAATTATGCAGCCCAACATTTTGAATCCACCCTCCAGATATCAGAATTCCGGCATGTCCTCTTTTTTGATTGGTTACACTAACATTTTCCAAAAGTACTGCGTGTAGTGGAGATGATGGGAATTCAGAAATATGAATTCCATAAGCTCCCATGTTATCAATGATAATATTCTGGAGTTCAATGTTTCCTGAAAATAAATTTATTTGAAATACAAACTGATTTTCCCTTACCTGTAGGTGTCATGAAATCGATTCCACTACCAACTCCATTCTGTATTTTAGTGTTCTTGATAAGTAGATCATCTCTTCTTTCGTCCACTCCGATTGCTGATTCACTAGCTTCTTCAATTATCAACCCTCCCAAATCCACAACATCATTAGAGTTTTGTGTTATCTCTATTCCATGTACTACTGGTCTAACAATCCGTCCATTTTCTATTTTCACTTTTTGAGAATCTATCCATATTCCAATTGATGCATCCTCGGAAACCACATTTTTCACATCTAGGACACCTTCTGGCTTTGCTACGATCCCTCGCCACGTGTTATCATTCTGACCACGAGTCACAATTGGCTTCTCTTCAGTCCCATTCATAATCAGTCGACCCGATACAGTAATCCCGACTCCAGGTGCAAAATCTAGAATTGTACCCGGTTCAATCACAACTGTTTCTCCAATGTTTATCACAACTTCTTCATTGATCAGATAGGGTTCCGAAGCCGCCTTGATGACTCCGTTAGAGGTTTTAAACGGATTTCCAGTGACACCAATTAATGGGAGAGGAGTGGAAGTAACAGGTTCATCCATTTGAACGGTTTGATATCCGTACCCAGTGCAAATCGGATTCTTGTTCCCAGAGAGCATTTTGTTGTCTGAGATATCTTCAGGTTTTGGGATTGCTGGAGAGTAATAAGTGATCTCGCACGTGGATCGTTTGTCTTGAAATCTGTTCTCAGTAATTGAAGCATTAGCTGAATTAGTGGTGATGATGGAGTTTGCAAGATTCTGATTGAATTCGTTGGCTGAAATCTGGATCTGAGTCGCCGAAGAATCGGTTTCCAATATTTTTATGACGTCGTGCATGGTGTTTTTGGTAAATTTGCAATTGGATATCGTCAGTTGGTTTCCGTTTCCAGTAACGTTTTTGAGGGACACCGCGGAGTCTCCACCGTCAAAATCAATGTAGTTGCTGCTCACAAATTCGCATTTATCCATAATCAAACTTGCATTCTTGAAGTCGTTGAATTGTATTATTTCTCCAGAGTTCCGAAGAAATCGGCAGTCTCGGAAGATTATCTAAAAGTATGAACTTTTCAGATATTTGTATTCTTGATCTTGCCAACTCACATTAGGACTCTGAAACTGCCCTGAAATCCGCACACCGCCCTTTTTGTTATCGTGAAAACGAGAATTCGCTATTCCAATTTTTGCGTCCGCCGTCGTAAACAATTCCACTGAGAACTCTGTCCGATGAGCTGACACATTTACACCATCCATCTGAAATTTGTTTTCCTTTCAGAAACCAAAGTACAATTTGTCAGTTTTCTTACTTCTAATCTCTTCTCGACTTCCACATGGATTCCATAGAACCCATTAGCATTCACAACAACATTTTCAAGAGTCACTTCAGAAGTTCCCACGTAGATGCCAGTTCCGTTGTTGGAATAAGCCGTGCTTCTGCGAATGTTGATTTGTTGATCTGTATTTATGAAAATACCGAGGCCACCGTTGGATGCTGCAGTCGCTCTGTCGATGGAAATAGATCCCTGAAGAATTGGTAAATCTGAATCGATAACAGCTGAGTTATCATATTTGCGCAGTATGGTAAACCAAAGTTTTGTAATTTTTCAATTTCAAGTTGAAACCAAAAAAACTGATAGATCGAACAAAATGTTTTTATCATATTTTCTCTAATAGAAGCCCACCCGAACCGTTAATTTCAAGCTGAATTATCTCCCTGTAAAAGAAATCAAAAACATTGTCAACAAATTGTCTTTTCCCATTTCTTCCATTCGACATGCATTTTTGAGTGGGTGTAAATTGCACATAAATCAACCAATAATCGCTTCATGATCATTTATTTTCAAAGACACGGACAAGTTATTTTGTGAGGTGAATGCAATTTTTTGCGGAGAGTCGTTTATAAGTTAAACAAGTTGATAAAAGAAAAGAGAATCAAGAAAACGGTATATATACAGTTCTCCGTGCTCGTGATTCATGTGCGTGTGTGGAGTGATTTGAATGGTGGATATGAGTATTGATGAGACATAATTTGGTGTGACATAAAGAACGGAATAGAATGGATACCCGGCGGTGCAACTACAGAGTCAGAGGTGCTGAGCAGCGGTGAGAGAGTTAGCAAAAAGAAGAGAAGCAGACGGACAAGATTCGATAATGAAACAATATGTTTCAGTTGTCTTTTATACCTTTCCCAGGTACTCGATTCCAGTTTTCTCATTGTTTACGGATACCACGGATTTTAGGTGTGTGGTTGTAGTCGGCTGAAAATTTGTAATATTAGATGGGTCAATCAAAAAGTTTAAAACTCACATCCATATCACTAATCTTTATTCCATAAGTATTTCCATCAGCAACAACGTGATCCATATCCGGCGATGCTCCTCCTTTAACGCTCACGGCCACATCGGCACCGGAAATGTTCACATGAGTCAATGAGGACGTTGACGCATTTCGAAACTCAATTCCACGCCAGCGTTCATTTTTATTTACTGCTTCCATGGTAACTGGTTGACTACTGGATCCCATCAAGTTCAACGATCCATAAATCACTAATCCAACATTCTTTTGGAATTTCAGCCTCGATCCTGGTGCAATATTCAGCTGGCTTCTATGAGGCACCACGGTGTCTTCTGTGATTACTTGATCTCCGGAGAGTGTTCTCACATTATTCGTTTCTTTCATTGTGATGTCCTCAATACTTCTTTTCACTCTTCGGCTTCTACTGGTCTCTGGATCGGGATTCAACCCCCTGGCTAGAGCTTTCGCTCCCGCCTCCACTTCTGCTTCCATTTCTTCTTCTATCCTTGAGTACGGATCAACTGCTCTCAAAATTGATCCAGTTTTTCCGTGTCTATGATTATGATTCCTTGTTGCTCGGTGACATTCGGAAGGTGGTGCCGGTGGGTAGGTGCATGATGTTACTTGAGCATCAATTACGGATAGCTCTTTTCGACTTGATATAAGAAGACGGAGAGCATGGATTGGCTGAAAACAATGATAATTTTAAATTCCTATTTCGAGTATCCACAAACCTCTTTCAACCTGAAATGATGTTTTGAATTCGTGTAATGTGCAACTTTCCAGTGTCCCTTTTGGCATTCCGAGTATAAAAGATCGCTGAAAGAAATATGATTTCTTGTCTGTTACCACTTCATTTTTTGTCTCTCTTTGTTTATTCCCTAATGTTTCCAGGAAACGTTTTTGGAAATATTTTGCGTCCTCTTCTCAAAAAGAACCCAACTGAGTTTTCCCCGCTCATTTCCACCAATTCCCAAGGCGAAAATTAATCGTGAAGGGTTAGTATGAAGTAGTGCACAACACACTAACACATCGAACGTAACAAATCGAGAGCGAGACCCCAAGAAGAAGAAGACTTTTACTTTCTACTAACCGACATATCAAATCAAGAGAGGGTCATTGGGGAATTAAAATTAGCCATGTTTCTCAGTTTGACCTGATTTATTTGAATTTGGCACATTTGCCCTCCATTTGGGACTTATATGTATTCGTACTTACATTTCTTCGGCACCAGTGAGTTCTTTCAAGCAGTGAATGTCTATTGAGTTGATACATGTTACATTGTGAAAGTGGATTTTTGTATAATGACCGTAATAGGTGTCCCGCCCATCGATGGCGATGTTTTGATGGCCTGTTTCCACACGAAGGAAAGTACCCAGAGAGTCTGAAATCAGAATGAATTGATTTCCAGTTTGAAAGCATTCTCAGTTGAATGCTAAAACCTCACTTCTGGTATACTGTAGCAGGAAGATGAATAGAACTGGCCACGAGACAATCATATTTCAGTTACAGTATTCCGTTTCCAGATTACATGCTATTTGTCGAATCTTCCAACTTTCTTTGGTTTCTGAAATTCTCCATGGTTGAAAGATACGAACAAATGCAAAAAAAGGTGACGATGGAGAACTTGGCGTACCCGAATGGAGCAAAAAAGAGGAGGGACAACAAAAAACTAAAGAAGAAATGGCGCAATTATCTGGCCTAGAAGTAGAAGGGGAAAACGAGTACACAGTGGTGAGTGGCGGAAGAGTAACAGATAAAAAACGATGGAGAAAAAGTTGTTGGCGCCGTATATACCCTCTTTTTGCTCTTTTTTGTCTTGCCGTTTTTTTCACTTTTCAACACAAGAGGTCAATTTGAAGACGTTTTCAGAAGACGCATTGTTGGCACCTGAGAAGAGCTTCAAAGTCTCTAAAAAAGTGAATGGAGCCATGAGAGAGTGCTGAAGACGAAGAGACTTAGAGACGAGTTGGAAAAAGTAAAACAGCTGGAAACGACACGTTGAGGAAAAGAAGCCTCACCCCAAAAAAATTTGTATTCAAATCACAATTTGGGAGAAGAAGGCGAAAACGGGGGCGAAAAAAAGAGTTTCGATGTGAGAAGAAGAAGGAAAAACAAGTTTTCTGGCGTGTCATGGACAAGAGTCGGGGCGAGAAAATGAGCAGAATTTTAGATTATGGCTCGACGAGCACGGTGTGACGATGAAGGAGAAGAAGGAGGGAATGAAAAGGGGCAAGAATGGATCGAGACACGTTGATGTTAATGAAAAAGTTAGGAGATACATGATGCGTAATGATTGTGGGGATATTTAAGGTTGAAATTTAGGAAATGGCTGAAGGTGGAAATAAATGAGAATCAAAGGTTCGCAATCAAAATATGAGTCTAAGATCAGATTGTCCACTTCTTCTTTTAGATTTTGGATAGTGCATTCTATAACTGTAATCCTATTAGTTATTCGGATAGAATGGGTTATACAAATCTGAAAACGCTTTTTTTTTTTATTCTTAAGACTGGATTGATTGAGCTCTAAAAATTTTGAAAGTTCGAAAGTTATGAATTACGAAAATTTGATTCAACATGATTTTGCGACACAGTTTCGAAAAATCCATGTGTTTTAGAAACTTCCATAGAAGCCAAAAAAAATCATATAAAAAAGGTTTCCAAGAAAAAAAAAGGCGGAAGTCGACCCTAAAAAAGCGCTGAATAAAAATAGAAGAAAAAGGTATGAAAGAAATTCCAGGAACTATTACATTCTGGGCTGAGCAAACTTCTCTACTTCAATAGTTCTTCTTCTTCTTTTTTCTCGTTTTTTAAACAATAGGAAAACCGAATTTATGTTCAAGACGACACATTTCAACGCCTCCAAAATCATCTTCTGAATGAGCAATTCGATTCCATCGGAGCACAATCTCTCCATCTTCTTTTTGGAATAATTTTGCAAATTCGTCTGGATTCCCACGCGATGTCTTCTTGACATTCCTTCTTGACCACCATCGCAGAAGAGAGAGAAAGTGTGGAGCACTTTCTATCTGTGCTCCTCCGGCGCCACCTCGGCTCCCTTCATCCTCCCTATTCCTATCTCTTTTTCATTTCAGATTTTTTCAATTTGTTCCACTTCTTCTTCTTCTTCTTTTTTCTCTCATCAATTCAAAGTACGCCTTCTTTCTTCTCACTTCATGGAGGAATTCAATGTGTGAGAAAAACGAAGTGAATTGACACGACGACGTGTGGTGACAAAAAGTGTAAGGAGGTGGCGAAGGAGAGGAGAAGAAGAAGAAATATATTTGCTCCTTCTCGCTCCCAGGCTCTTGCTTCGGGCATCGGGCGACGGGCGCCTTCTCAAGGGTGAAGCGTTAATAACACGGCAAAGACACTCATGAGAGAAAAAAGGAGAATAGAGAAGAAGTAGGTGAGATACCTTGTTAGCGAAAATGCTGAAAAGGAAGTTAGGTCAAAGGTTGAAATGTGAAGAAAAAAAGGAAGTGATGTTGGAAAGAAGAAATCAGAGAAAAGGAATAGTTCTTTTTAATTTTAAAAGCAGTTAACGTTAAAGAATGATCAGCATATTGAAAGGATCTGGTCACTGTAGTCATTATTGTAGTCTGAAAGTTCCTACTATATTTAAAGCCGTTCCCATTAAAGATGAACGTTTTCTGTTCAACATTTGATTTTCTGCTCAACAGCTCGTTACCGTGAGTTCCTAACTCTTAACGTTGAAACAAATTTTCTCGATTCATGTGAAAAATATCAAAAAGTGTCCAACTGATGAAATGTTTATCATAATGCGAAAAATATTTTATCAGTTAACAAGTTGTTGGTATCTTTTACAGAAGCCGAGTTATGTAAGCTCAAAGTTGACGGTATGGAGGACATTCTATTAGAGTGTTTATCGTATTAAACAATTAACTTCTGAAACTAGCATCAAGCATGTCAGAACTGCAGAAACTTTTATAATCACAAAAATTGAATTGCTTATCACAAAAAAAACACTAATCCTAGTCTAACTTAAAAGCTTGAACACTAAAAATTAGCCCCTCCCCTATTCTATTTGCTCCGCCCTCTTTTTCAATCCCACCCAAAAGAAAAAAGGAAAAAAGGAATCAAAAAATAAATCACTGGGGCACTTGAAAACCGACTAAACGCGGTTGAGTACCCAAAAAGGCTGCTGCAGAAACCCGCGTAGAAAAGAGTGAGAGTTGAGTAGTTTCCCCGACACTACTAAATTTTGGAAAATGTACTATCAAATTGAGAGAGCCAGTGTGAAGTGTTGACGTCGTGATGGAGTGAGTTGAGAAAAGATGCAAAACTACCCGCCGAAGACGTCGGTCCTAGTCTAAATAAATCAGGCGGTACGTAGTACTTCTTCGGCTTCATCTTGTCGGACCACCGAAATTTGCATATTGAGTATAGCAATTTTCGAGCGGCGAATACGAAGATAATCATGAGAATGTCTGGGACAAAGCACTAAAATAATACGGAGTCAGGTTTGGAAAAATAGAAGATCGGAAAAGAAAACGGAAAATGAAATTGATACATTTGGACAGAAAAGCAGAAGAAAACTAAACCACTTGGGTCGAGCTTGGTGGTAAAGAAAGAGAAACTTGAGACTCTCAAGATTCTGGAGTAGATTCTGGTTTATGGTAGATATAAAGTTTAGGATACAGATTGTTTTCCAAATTTTTATTGAGATAAACGACGTTTCTGGATTTCAAGTATCCGCAGATCCCAAAATCAAGATTTTGTGTTTCAAAAATTTTCAAAGTTTCTTAGCTCTTATAGTATATTTTTCAACATCTAGGTATCCAGATTCCTAGATTCCAAAAACCCTGAAATCATGGGTTTCTGTACTTCTGGATTATTAGAAATTTGGGTTTCCTGATGTTCCAGTTGTGAGGTTCTCACATTTTTGAAATCAATTTTTATTTCTTCCTAATAATTCATGATACTGTGAAACCTGTATTGAATGAGTGGGCCCGAGATGGTTCCATTCTTCTGAGGTGGTTCCAGACGTTTCTCTTCCACAACTCTGACTTTTTGTACCGGAATAATTAAATGAGTTTCAGAATCATAAAACTTCTCTTATTTTCAACCTTGATCAAAAGTTTGAACTATTGAAAATTGACCAAAATCCATTATTCATCTCCCATTCTTATAACTATGCAGTTAATTCTCTTCATTTAATATCCAATTATATTCAGTCCTACTTTTAAATTAACCCTTATATTCTGATCAAAAAACGGGTTCACTTCGAACTGGAAAAGAATTTTGGCTAATGTGTGAATATGGAATGCTCGAGCGCATAAACAGAGTAAAATGAATGATGGATGGATGGATAAACTTGTCAACGTCAACATCCTGTCGAGAGAGCTCCAATTGAGAATATGTTCAAAACTAATTTTTAATGTATGTTCCGACTCTCAAGAGAAATGAAAAACGAGAGTCTATATACCAAACACACGGCATGGTTATAATTCATTGAAGCTTTGGCACGCACACAAAATGACGCTTTCAGACATCTTTTTGGGGTGGGAAGTATGAGAAGAAAGTTGAGCAGTTTTGAAGAAAAAATAGAAGAGGGTGACGAAACAAACAGAATTTTTGGGTTTGTTTGGTAGGGCGGCCCTGTGAAGAAAAAAAACACAGACAAAGAACAAAACGAACGCCTGCGAAAAATGAATACGTTTTTCGGTCATCCCCTTTTTTGGTTTGGTTTTGGTTGCTCAACCTCGTGTCAAGGTTGACGGTTTCTTATCCCATGGGAGCTTCGAAAAAAGTTTCCAAATAGAACAAAAAAGGATGGAAAGGTGAGATTGTTCAAAGGGAAGGGAAGAGGATTTTGAGGTCTGTTTTTGTAGTTGGGAGGTAAAAAATTAGAAAAGAAAGAAGAGCTAGTATTACCTGCAAAAAGTGTACATAGTTTTATTGAACATTACAAACATATTTTAGATCTCTGGATGCAAAGTAGTGAAGTTATGAATATAGTCTCAGATATATTGACCAATAGAATAGCTCAAAACACAAAATCTATTGTGTAGGTACAAAACATAGGATCTGTAGAAGAGAAACGCCGAGAGCCGTGGTCGGAGGTCACAAAACGACAACTACAGTAACCTAAACATATTTCACTTTTCACGATTACCCCCTCGTTTTTTGTTGATTTTTGTCGGTTTATGTTATGTTCCTCCAGGAAAGTGGCAAAATAAAAATGTTTTCTAATGAAGAAGTGAGCTAATAACACAAGAAAACCGAGATATTTTTAGGTAGTTTTCGTTGTGAAACCTTCGGGCACGACCACCGGCTCTTCTGGTCCTTAGCTCCAATTGTTTTCTCAATTTTACTTATTTTCAATAATTTTTCTTTCTAGGTACTATAATAGAATCTCAAAAATTGCGTTGTATTCAAAAACACTTGAATAAATCATAATCGTTTTTGTCATATTTTGAGCCAACGAGAATCGTATGAATCTGGAAAAAAGGGATTTCGAAAATAGAGAGTAGTCCTCTGAGTTTTGGATGAACGGCTTCTTCGGGGGGCAAACATTGTATTGAGGGGTCTTCCTTATTTTCACACACACAAAGAAACGAAATCGGGTTGTTTTTGTTTTTTGTTTACCCTGTTTTACTATTCCTTATACCCCTTTCAACGGAAATTAGTTCAAAAGAGAGATTGGAGAAGAATGATAATAATTGAATTTCCAGAAAAAGTGGGGAATTTTTTAGAGTGTTCAGATGGCTTTAAAACAGTTCAGAGTGTTTAAAAAAATGGATGAGGAGATATTGGATTAATTGAATTTTGGGTGATAGATTCTCAAAATAATTGTTTTGGGATGTAAAAACAATAATGGAAATGTCGACTGGGATTCTCGGAGAAAACCTTTTGAAATCAATAAAAACCACGTCTTCTAAACAAAATACGTTGCTGACTTCAGATGAAAAAATAGGAAAACTAAAGGAAACAGATAAAAAACCTTTGATGAAAAAACGGCAAACTCAACGTCGTGTTTGAAATTCAATATCATTGCTCTTACTTTTACCCAAACAACGTCAAAAGTTCATATATGGGTAGGGTTATAAACGGAAAGGATTACATGGGAAAAACATAGAAGAACACGAGCTCTAGAGAAAAAGAAGGAAAAAGCGGTAAGTACCCCTCATCATGATGCATTTTTATGATGAGACATGGCCAAAAAATGTCGGAGTCGGGGGTTTTTCTTTTTCCTTGTCATGAGAATAGATAAAAGTGAGAAATATTGAGAATGGGGGATCTACTTTCTGTCTTCTACATTTTTTTTTCATTTTTTGAGAGAATTCTAGAATTCAAAAGTTTCTATTGTTTATGGAATGGCATGGGTGAGGGGGCGGAGGAAAAAAGGAAGAACAAAGAGACAGAGTCATAAAATTCAATCATCGAACATATAGATAATTGCACCTATGGACTGTCCTCTCGAAAAAGGCGAACCTATGGCAATTATCCATGAATATATCCACGAGTGACTGCTGCTGTTTGACCAGTTTGCACCGGATATCTAAATGAAACGACATGTGTGGAGGGTGGAAACAGAGGAGATTGAGTAATTTTGAAATTATTATGAAACCAGTTAGTGGTAAAGATCTCGTGATGAATAAAATGTTTGTTATGAAAGCAATCACCTTATTTTTGGAAGAAAATTTTAAAGGTAGTTTGTTGACAAATTTTTTATCAGTTGAGGCTCATAAATCGCTAGGTTTCTATTTTAAAAAAGATCAGCTGATTTAAAACAGAAACACAAAGAACAGGATCATGTAAAAGTTCAGAAAAGAAGGAATAGACTATCAACGTTTTTACGGAAACCGATTATTTGAAATTACCTCTAATAGACAGTCACGTTCAATTAGAAATCGAAAACCTCGGTTCCAGACAGTAATACCTAAAATAAACTGAAAGAAGGAAAAAATGTTTTGGCTAAAAAACTGACACCTGAAAATCTCACTGGCTCGTGTAGACTTGATGCCCCGCCCCCAAATCCGATACAGTATTGAAAAAAAATTAATTTCTGCGAATTTAGTGGGATTTTCTGGAGCAAATTTAGATTTTCGGCAGAAACATGATCACTAGCATCTATAGAAACCATTTTCACCAGAAAATCAACTAAATTGAAAAAATCGCCCAAGGGAGGGGAAAATCTAAAATGCTACGACGTTGCCAAAACAGATGTATTTACCAGGGGCCAGATTTTTTTCAAATTCGACAATAAAAAATATGTTTTTGATGACTGTTCCGGTGAAAATTGTTTGAAATTTCTCAAACAATAAAAAAAACATTTCGCTACAGTAACCTTTTTCTTACATTCCAAGTTCAAACCTAGCTTTGTACGGAGACCCAATAAGAACAAAATAATCCTTGCTAAAAGGTAAAAAGGTAAATCAACATGGAGTCAATGTCGAGAGCATAAATTTCTTCTTCTTCTTCTTCTTCTCTCTGAGCACACCTGCCCCTTTTGCTCCTTATTTTCCCCCTTCTCCCGACTCGACTCCATCTCATTTCTCATTGACTCTTTAAAAGTCTCCTCCTCCTATTTCCCTTCAATCTCATTTCTTTTGCCTCCCTCTCTCCATTCTATAAAATGTACATGCATTTGTCACCTTGGTGACACGAATGTGTATATACATAAATCAGAAATAAAGTGAAGACACGTCCCGTCCAAATTATTGAAATGAATGGAAATGAAGAGGAAGACGGTGCGAAGAAAAGTCGTCAGAAAAAAAGGATGCCGAAGTGAGGGGCTCGCTTCGGCTCGCAGATCCTTTCTAAATTCAATTGTTAGCATCAAAGGGCACTCATCCGATTTGTGTCGAATTGGACAGAGTCCTACTCCCGATTCGAAAATGTTTCTCACTTTTTAGGGTTCAAAAATTGAGGAGGCTTTATAGAAGAAATCTGGGAAAATAAGTTAATAAAAAGGGCAAGGAGAAGAATAAGTTAGAAAGGCAACGTATCACAAGTATTGGCACCACAGTTGTGTACTTTGAAGAGAAATATAATAAACTAAAAAGAAGAAAATGATTAACTGAAAAAAATGGCTTCAAAATGAGATTTAACAATAGTCGCAGTTTTCGATTGAACGTCGGCAAGTGACGATGTGTAGCTGGATGGAGGGAGTATCAAGACGAGAAGACGGGAGTTCACCTGAAACACCGTACTTGAAATACCGAAAAGACAACAATTGCGTCGAATACCTTTTTGATAACTATCCACCAATCACTCGACGACTTCACAAAACATTCTCCAAATTCTTCAGTGTCCGAGACAAAATTGCTCATTGTATCGCATACTAACCGATTGACATCTACAGGTGGCAAGGATACTTTTGACGATGACGTTGATCCAGAAGAAGATACGGAAAGCGATGGAGATGTTGAAAGACTTGAAGTCATTGATAAGGAAGATGGGTTGAAGTAGATGTAATGAAAATCTGTGTTATCGGCTAATTTCTCGTCACCGATTCTGAAAATTAGACCTTAATTTCTTTCTATGCTTTGCAATTAAAAAAGAACTCACTCATCCCCAATTTTACTGGCTACTTGCGCAAGTTCAGCTTCCAAAAATTGATCTATATTCCGTAGTAATCGTCTACTTACAACTCCATTCTGTGGTGGAGTGGAACGTGTAGAAGATGATTGAGATGAATCTAAAAATTGAATGAATTTTTAGTTTCTCCAATTCTTTTATAAAAGTCCCACCTGAACTTCTTCTGAATCCCATCTCTCCATTTGAACCATCATTTCTTACGAACATACAAACAGTCGCATTCAGACACCGATAAACCATCATCTGATATCCAATCAAATCTTCACGAAATTCAGGGTCTTGTTCGGAATGCAAATGTACTACGGAAAGTGACTCGTCACCGAACAATGGAGCATCGGTAGTCAAATCAGTTGGTCCACGGAGGTATCTTCCTTTCGACGCATTTCTTCCAGAGTGTTCTAATTCTGGAGCAAGTGTGGTTGGGAGCAAATTGTGGGTCAAATACCGAAACAGAGACGGCAAATCTCGCTTCGATAACTGATAGTATAAAAGTTTGTCTTGATAGAGAAACATGATTTTCTCAATTATTGGAAACTCTTCACGAAGTTCTGTTATTAGAGAGACGACGTTAAGGTAGAGAGGCCCAGACATCCGAAGAAACTCAACGCCACCGAGATGATCCAAAAGAGGCATCTTATGAACTTTGAGAAGGGGAATGTACTTGGAGAAGAAGAAGTCGAGACGCTCTTTGAACTTTGGAATATCATCAGGACCATTTCTGTAAACATTTATGAGTATTTGAAAACTACACTCTGGGTCTTACTTGATGAATGAAGAGAAAGTTCCGAAGAACATTCTGAACATTTTATAAGCATCTGATAAAATACTTCGTATTGCGGGTTGAAATAATGGGTAATCGGACACTAGTGACAACTGTTTCGAAATGGAAACACCGAGCATGAACTGATTATCTTCTGTCCGGATATATACATGTTCTGTTCTTTGTGTTGAAATAGCTCTAAAATCGAATCCATCGTCGTTATCATCAAGATTTTCAGCGACATCTCTACGTAAAGTACAGAGAAAGTTATCTGTGAAGTTAACCGTTGCTTCTGCGAACCCAGTGATTTCGGACTGAAATTTGCAACATTACCTTTTTTCTTTAAAAAAATAAATACCTGTCTCTCTATATTTTCACTTTTCGGGTGAAAATACATAATCCTTTTGTGCTCTTCTCCTTCTTTTCGTCCTGATAGAGGATGAGCAACAAAGAAGAACTCCAGAACATCTAAAAAGTTTGTAACCAAAACAATGATTTATCCTATTAGAAACGAGAAAGACTTACCGATAAATCTAACCACATTTGAACACGGTGGTGGGTTTAAAGACAAGTTGGAGAAGAAATACAGAGGATTCGATATTGACTCCATGCTGGAAGATTAATTTTTATTGAATAGTCTTTTCGAACTCTTTTCTTCTCTCAAAACATAAATAAAACAATTTGGAGAAGGAAAGAGTGCAAAAAATGAGGAGTGTGTTAGAGATAAGTCCTGACTCATTTCTTGTCAGTTGACGCACTCCTCGATCTACTGGCGCATCTCTGGTTTTTTGTCAAAATTAAATTTTCTCCACTCTTTTTTCCCCTTTTAAAATGCCTTTTCCCATTATTTAAAAATTAGGGTCAATTAAATATTTCAGCTAAAAATGTTCGAAAATTCAAGTTGGAGAGGTGGCAATGAACCGCCTGGCCAGTCATGGAGAACTAGCGACGTTCCTCATCCATCACAAGGTCCGATTATTTTTTAAGACAACCCACCATTGTTCTGTTTTTAGACCGGCAATCAATACCATCACTAATGGATCCTCCGGAGGTAGTGGAATTGAAGAAAAAGATAGAAGACTTACGGCAGAAAATAGTGGATAGTGAGCAGAATCTAAACGCTCATAAAGATGGAATGGACAACTTGATTATGGTAAGATATATTTTTAAACCGATTTTTTAACTAATGATTCTCGTTTTAGGCTCATCTAAAGTCGACAATTCGGGCGGCGGAAACACAGAAGATTGATGAATTACTGACTGATCACAATCTGAACATAGAAGAACTGAATCGGTTTTTAGACGCAATGTCCACAGCTAAATGTTCGAAGGATTTGATCTCAGTGAGTATAGAAATCCGATAACCTGAAAAGAAACCTCATGTTTTAGCAAGCAAAGAGATGGATTTTCGAGAACTGCACCAGCGATCAGTTGAGAGAAATAATATTGTTATTTCTTTTGAACAAAGTCAAAGATGAAGCTTCTGGAGAGTGGCTACGGCTGCACATTCTGTATCTTATCAACGATTGGGCATTCCATTGGTATTTCTACAGTTAAACTTCATTTTTCATCAAACCATATTGTTTTCAGTCAACGGAAAAAAGAGGAAAATCAAATGAAAATGCTGACTCGATATGTACCAAAGATGTACGCTTATTGTATAGAGCTCTCATCTTCTAGTGAATTGAGCAATAAGTTAGAGGGAAAACTACTAGGAGAATGGGAAGGAAGAGGATACTTCACGGATGCTGTGTTCAAGCAATTACGAAATACAGTCCAAATTGTGAGCACTGATCGGGAAATTGAAAGATCTTCTTATGGAGCAGCTCGAGAATCGATCCGAAGTAATTTACTTGCGACGTTCGAAGCTTATGAGCAGCAACATTTGACCTATGCAAAACATATACAGAAGCAAATTGAAGATGCGGAGCGGAAGATAGAAGGTTATTTTCGTTGAAAAGTAAAAAGTCAATCTTCAAATTTATTCAGAGTTCCGTCATGGCCCATCCTGCGGTCCCGCTCCTCAGCTATCTCATGGTCCACCGTCAAGAAGGTCAAGATTCGATCAGGCTCCTAGTGGTGAGAAAGAGCGATAATAAATTATCTTGAAACGAACGTAAAGCTTATCAATGGGTTTTTAGTCGACAGTCGATCTTATTCACAAAACCCTCCACCACATTCTAATTCGTGGCAAAGAGATGAACCTGACGGCGAGGATATCGATGGAATGCCGTTCGAGGAAGAGTCGCTGAAGCCAAAAAAGTCGTACATGGCACTACCAGCTGGAATCATGACTCCTCTTGTGCCTATGGATATGTTTGAGGTAATTTATCAGATTTGTTATATTAAAATCGTTTTCATATGTTGCAGTATAAGTCGTTGGATCCAGAGAAACTCGAAATGCCTGCAGCTGTTCCCCCATCTTCCAGACTATTTGCTGCCAAGAATATGTTCCGTAAAGGAATCGAAATGGATATGACTTTGGCTGATGGAGCGTAAGTTTGTTTTGTTTAATCAGCGAACAAATTTACCATCAGATGTCTTTTTCAGAATGGCTGAAGATGAAAATCTCTTGAAGTACCCACTTGAATTCCTCGAAAGAAAATCAGCAACCAGAAAAAAGTTCCTGGAAGAGGAAAGATGTTCAATAGAAGAAATAATCATAAACAAACCAAACAAAGAGGAGCAAGAACTATTCAAAAATGCTCGCAAGCTGAAAGAAGAAGAACAAATCAGAAAAATTAGAGCATCGGTGGACTCCTATTACGCAACTCAGGAACCACCCGAGAATCTCAGGGAAGGATCACCTGGCAGAAGGTCAACATCAAGATCACCAGAAAGAAGGTCGCCATCAAGAAGTCCTAGTCCCAGAAGACGTCGTCGTTCTCCGTCTAGTTCTTCAGGATCATCATCTTCTGGAACCTCTTCATCTTCATCCAGTCGACGGTCATCACCAGATAGGGGAAGAGATAGAGGAGGGTTCGAACCAAGAAGAGGATTCAGCGGAGGAGGTTTTCAAGATAGACCATCCTTTGGATTCCGACCAGCGAATGAGCCACTTTCGAGTGATAACAAAGGTGCACAACTAATGGCAAAAATGGGTTGGACCAGTGGAAAAGGGCTAGGATCTAATGAAAGTGTAAGTGATTTAAAATCTAACATTGACTCTCATTATGCAATTACAGGGAATCGTTGATCCAGTATCAGGAGGAGAAGTCCGTGATCGCAACGAACAGTTTATGGGTCTTGGACGAACGTTGGATCCATATGAGCAATTCCGAAAACAACGATCTGGCACTTATCATGAACGAGGAGTTTTTCATCGAAAATAGTCTCATTTTTTGACATTTTATGTTAAATTTTTTCATTTATCATTTAAAAGATCTCCTTGAAAACCATACACATTATTACAGCTAATGCGAAGCGAATTAGAGCGAATTAGATTTGCTGGATGGTGGCTTGGCCGTATTTTTTACAGACATTTTCTTCCAATCCTCTAAAGAGGTGGAAGAAAACAATTATTCGAGATAGAAGACAGGACGAGGTTTCGGCCGGAGTGGAATCATTCGATGAGCGAATGCAATCCAAAAGACAGTGACCAAAAACAATTGGAAGAATAGTAGCTCCCAAACCCTTTGAGGACCGAATGACGAATAGATTGCTCTGAAAACAAACCATATTTTTGATAATCATTGATCTCTCGATACACTCACGTGCACAAAACAGGAGCGACGACTCTTGCGAAGATCTGTGAAACATCGTACAGACTCTGTTCCAGTGCCTGTCCAACTGGATTGAATAGTTTTGAATATAGAGTGGCATCGCCGACGTTTATGAATGGAACACATCCACCAAACGAGATGATATATCCAATGTAGAACAACTGAAAACAAGCGAAATTATTGAAACAATTTAGTGAAAAACTACCTCCTGGGAAGCTTTGGGTAGTCCGAGGCACCATGAATAAAGAGAATAATCACATCCTCCGTGGGTTCCATCTGTATTCACAACCACATTTTTTGGAATGAAGGGCCATTGATAAGTAGCGAGAATATAAATTGCGAATATCAAAAGACTTGCTGTATTCATTTTTCCAATATTCAGTTTTCTTGCCACATCGCTAAATATGAAAGTGCTGTAGAGAGTAATGGCAAAGACTCCAGAGATGAAGAATACGACGGACATTATACCGACGGCAGCGTCTCTTTCCATATTGAACATCATCATGATGAATGCGGGAGCTAGGGTTTCGATAGCGTAGTAGGTGAAGTTTTGACAGTATCTGGTTAGCATACAGACGAACATTGCCAGTTTATCAGGACACGGCCAGTTTTCATCGTCTTCCTGAATGGAGAGGAACTAGTAAATAATTGCAGCAACATTTTGAAAAAATACTTACAATGCTCCTCTGACTGCAACTATTTCCATTCCTCTCGATTTCATGATAAAGTGTGTAAAGGGCAACGATTGCGGATATGTTGAGAGTTATTGAAATGAACGCAGCAGCATTGTGGGAGTGGATGTACAAAGGTCCAAAGAGATGTAGTCCTGTATCTCCGAAGAATAGAAAAATCAATTGGAGACCAGGACCAAGGATCAGTCCGAGAGCACGTCCTCCAATGAAAACTGACATAGCTTTAGCACGATCGTCGGACATGGAGTGAGCAGTTAAAGTTGTGCGAAGAGTGGATGTGTTTCCTGTAGTAGTTACATTTAGTTGAATATTCTCTTATTTCAATTAAGTATTTGTGATTTGAAAAGTCATCTTCGAGATGCTGACAATGGATTTGTTTTTTTCCATTAAACATTATCCAATTTATCTCAAAATACCGTATTCTCTCTAATGAAAGCCCAGCAATAGCGCTAACTGTGAGCTCAATTATCTCCTTTTCTGTAAAAGATATCATTTGGATAGCCAAGATTCTAAAATATTGATTTGTTTTTTTTCCATTGTAGCTTTTCTAATAGATCTGAAAGTTATTTGACTATAAATCTAAAAAGAGCTCTAATTTTGTAGTTGACAACTTTTTCGTGCAAATTCTATTCGTAAAAATAGAAATTTTGGATTTTTGCTACTCCCTTGTTTCTCCAATTTTGACAATTCATAATTTTTTTTGGAGAACCCGATTCGATTCTTTCTAAAGTTCAATTAGAGCAGTAGGTATCTAGCAGTAAGTACAGTAGGTATCTGCTCTAATCGAAGCCCACCGTATACGTGCACTCAAGCTCAATTATCTTGGTTCCTTTGAAATGTATCAAAAAGTGGTCAACTGATAAAATGTTTATCATCATATAAGTTCCATTTTATTAGTTGACTTCTGTTTGATATCTTCACCAGAAAATGAGATACATATATGAAAGGTGACGGTTTGGATGGCGTTCTATCAGAGTGAGTACGGTATTTCAAAAAGAGCTTGTTCAATAGGTTTCGAAATTTTCAGAATAATCGGACAACTTTTAATTGTTTTTTTTAATATTCTCCATCTTCACATAATTTTTCAAAATGTGTCGGTTCTGCAATCATTTTTCACTGGAACCTTTGTGACCTTTTATTCAATTATCTCATTTCCTGTAGAAGATATCAAAAAGTAGTCAGCTGATAAAATTTAGCTATATTATCTGCGACATTTCATCAGTTGACACATTTTTGATATCATTTATAGAAATTCAAATAAATGATCGCACACTACAAGTTTAGTGTTGTGACATTCTTACGGTATTCTGACACTTTTGTATGTTTTGACCTTTTTGGTGTTGCCGAACCAAAGAGAATGGCCATTTTCCCAATCTCATAAAATATGCAATTCAATTCTGCCATCATTAACCTTTAACCCAATCTATGAGAAACCTATTTATAAAACTACCGTACCCATTCCCAAACCACCCAAAAATCTGCACAACATTATGAATGGAGCTGCCAATTCCATTGGAACATGATCAGCGAGAAGGAAGAGACAATTTGATAAGAGCATGAACAAATATCCAGCTAACAGAGGTTTCTTCGCCTGAAATACTTACACATTTTATTGGATATCGTATTGAATACCGTACTTCTCTTCTATAAGCTTTGTACGTGCACTTTGAGCTCCATTATCTCGGCTCTTTTAAAAGATATAAAAATGTCAACTGATAAAATATTAGTGATATCATGGTAAAAAGTTTATCAGTTGGCAAATTTTTGATATCTCACATAGGAACCGAGATAATGGAGTTCAGAGTGGACTATAAGGTGGTCTTCAACAGTATTAGATCATTCGGTCTAATCAACTAACTTTGTATCGCTTATTTGTCCACCATGCAGCTGCTAGTGCTCCTAAACAGTGTCCAACTCCGTGGAAGGTTACAGCAAGACCGAACGTAGTCGGACCAACTGACGGGTTTAGCTAAATAGTATTTCATTGGGAAGAACCATCATCGAACTAAATAATTACAAACTTTAGTCATGTAGGTGTACATGATTGTTGTGAAGATTGCATATTGAAAGTAGACAACCAAAGAGAAATATCCACAAAGATACACGACGTCCCAAGAAGTTTCGATGATAATTCGCATCTTGACTGGAAAAGATTTCAGTGTTTTTGGGAAAGGGGACGCCTTCCAAGAGTTTTCATTGACTTAAAATGTTTTTAAAATTATGTATTTTCCTAATTTCATTGCGAAAAACTTGTAAAAAATCCGAAATCCAAAATCCAAATACAAAAAGGTGGCGAATAGGGACAAGGATTTGAGTTCCCGCACAGTGAGAAACCTAGGCCACGGCGGCGGGCCACCTATTTTGAAAGAGATTTTTTTGGCAATTTTGGGTTTGTCACAATAATATTCAGAAAACACATGTTTTAGACATTTATTAGCAATTGAAACTCTGGTTGGAGTCTCCCTTTAAAAGAGACATTACAATCCTACAATGAAAAAAAAACACCCAAACAAAAAAAACCATAGTCAAAAATAGTAGCTAATCAAAACTGATCATCGACTACATTTGAAAACATCGAAAACGAGAATTCGTCGGCGGCAACGTCGGTGGTGGATTTGCATAATGATTCTGATAGAAAGATCATATTTCCCATACAAAATTCACTATCATCCCATCTGGGATTTCCTGTTTTTTGTTGCACTTTCGGCAGTTAAAAGAAATTTTATAGTTTTTAAAACTACTTCTGTTCAACTTTATTTTTGTAAACTTTAATTGGAGTTAGGTATGAAAAACACGAAAAAGATTGAAAGAAGAACAAACAATTAATCGGGGGATTTATAGAATACATGATTGCAACAAATGAAAAAAAAAATTAAAGAAAAAATGCTTTCCGTGGGGGAAAGGGCGGGGAGATAAGTAGAATGTACATTTAGAAAAAGAAAATACTTTGATGGTATAACGAGTTTGAGGTATACCTGGACAAGAAGAAGGAGAATTGCATTGATGAGACCGTTGACACGAAGAGCGATGACACGTTGAACCTTCTACCAGTCTTCGTCGTTTGGTTCCTCTGGAATTCGAGTCAAGTATTAATCTGCTTCAATATATGTCTCCAACTCACCATTACCATTATCTTTCTTTTCTTCCACTTCTCCGGATCCGAATGTGGTGCTTCCGAGGGCACCAGTCTCTTTCTCCTCTGGAGCAGAAGCATCATCTGAATTCCCGAATTTAGTGGCTCCTTAAAATATCTTCGAACTCACCTTCCCGAGCCGGTTCCACGGTGGCTGCGGCGCGAGCCGCTCCAAATCCTCCTCCGACGTTGCCACCGAAGCTTCCAGTGGCGGCAGAAGAGGCACCGAATCCACCGGACGAGGATCCACCGAATGCGCCGAATCCGCCTTCTGCTTTGCCTGCACCAAAGCCTCCACCTGCAGAGCTTCCTCCGAAGCTAGAACTACTTCCACCACCAAATCCAGATTTGCTAGAAGCTCCACCGTATCCTCCTCCGTATCCTCCACCACCGCCTCCATCACGACGGGGTCCTCCTCTGAACCCACCTCCGGATGGCATATTGGAGCCTGAAACAATAAATTATTTCATTTAATAATAGCTGAAAAAATCGCTTACCTCTCTTGGCCAGCTCCAACATGAATTCTGGCACCTTGGCAAGATCATCTGGGTTTCCTGTCGACTTCACGAGCTCGATCAACTTTGGCACCAACCGGACATCATTATCAAATCCGGGATTGATGAACGAATGGCAAGTTCCTTTGTGCATGCGTCCAGTACGTCCCGATCGATGGATGAATGTATCCACTCCAGTTTCGACCGATCCATCCGGAAGATCAAAATTGACGACGCGTTCCAAATCGACGACGTCGATACCACGAGATAGAACATCAGTAGTCACAAGAATCTTCAACGATCCGTTCTTGAACGCGGAAATAGTGTTGTCTCTGTTGTCTTGCGAACGATCACTGAAAAAAAGAACATGATGGATTCAAAATTTAGTTCAGTCGAATTTACCCATGGAGAGTTTGAACACCGAAATCCTTTTCCAGTTTCTGTCCGATCATTTGGATCTTCGATGCGAGGAAATCGCAAGACGCTTTCTTCTGGACGAAGATCAGGGTTTTGGGAATTTCTCCCCGCTCTGCAAGAAATACAAACTTATTAAAAATCAGTGAACCTTCAAATAAAAACTAACCATTTGTATCAAGAAGAATTTTCTTGAGTGTATCGTGCTTCGCGGCACCACCAGCCTCATGGAAGTGAAGATCGACACGGTTGCTGAGTCTTCCGCTGGCCAAGACAATTCTGACGAGATCGTTCTGTCCGTCAACTTTCTTCATCAGCCTATTGGCTACTTCTTCAACTGCGTTGTCGAAAGTGGCGGACGTCATAAGAGTTTGACGGTTATCAGCATTTCTCATGAAGTCGTGGTCGTTGATGATGGCGCCGAGATGCCCACATGGATCCTGTTTTACGTCTTGAAGGAGTCGATCAGCTTCGTCAAGCACCAAGAATTTGAGATGATCGAGGCAGACCTCGCCTTTTCCGATGAGATCCATCAATCGACCTGAAGTTCCCACCACAACATCGCAACCTTCCCGAATGTCAGCGAGGCATCTAGCACGACTTTGCTGTCCAATGGCAAGGCGGATTTTGATGTCAGTTCCACATGCATACTGGCGGAAGGACTCGACGATTTGTTGGGCAAGTTCACGAACAGGTGCAATGACTAGTGCAATTGGAGATGTTCCAAATCCCTCATCTCGGATATTCTGGTCCATCTTCAGGATATAGTCGACGATTGGCAGTCCAAATGCAGCTGTTTTACCTGCACTCGTCTCTGCTTGTCCAATAACATCGTATCCCGCCAAAATTTGCGGAATCATTGCAGCCTGGATCGTACGGACTCCAGTGTACTTGATGGCTCGCAAGTTGTCCAGAATTTTAGGATGGAAATGAGAATCTTCCCAAGAGGTGAGGCGATCCATTGTTGGCGAGTTTCTGACTTCGACAGCTTGATCTTGAGACACCTGACATTCCTGAACTTTCTCAGCAGTGTCTCTCATCAGTTCATCGATGTCACGAGATGATGGCATCCAGTCTCGTGGTGCAACTTCTTTTTTCGGCAGTTCTCCTCCGCCAGTGTATCCACCATCGTTGTCAAAATGCCTACCACCGTTACCTTCATTGTTGAAGCGGCCTCCTCTATCTCCATTTCCGAATCCGTTGTCATTGTTGAATCGTCCACCAGAACCACCTCTTTCTCCATTCCCGAATCCATTGTCATTTCTGAAGCTTCCACGCCCTCCGCCAATATCATCATAGCCTCCGGAATTATCGAAGCGTTTGTTGGGCGAGTAGTTGTTGGAGTCGAAGTTGCCGGAACCATTCCGGTCATTGGAACTACCAACTCCTCTGTTGACACGGTTTCTTTCAAAGTCGTTTCCACCGTTGTAACCGCTACGATCATTGTTGTGTCTGGAATTTCCGTAATCATTGCGGGAGTTGTTGTATCCATGGGAGTCTGGCCCGCGTCGAGAATCCTGCTGGTCGTCTGGAAAGAATATCGATGAATCGTTTTTACACTGTCTTTAATACCGTATTTCCTCTAATTGAAGCCGTTGGGCTTCTATTTTTCAACCTCCTACTCACGGTAGACTAATATTTTAGAGGGGGCTTTAATTACAGTGTTTTCAGTTCTCAACTGAGCATGGAATATTATAGAAACGACATGTATATTATAGAAACGATTATATAGAAACATAATATTATAGAAACGACAATTAACAGAAGCTGTCAGAAAATAAGACTAAAAACAATATGTCTGCGACAATCGAGAAGAAAACTGCACAGTCGGGGTGGGCTTCAAATAGAGATGGGCTCCTATTATAGGAAATACGGTATCTCAAGTAAGTCGACTTTAAAAAGTTTACAGTGGAAAGTGGAGACGAACATTTCAGCGAAGTTAAGCGCATCCACCATGCATTTTTCCAATAATCTTTTCCTTCTAATATTCAAACTCACATCGATCCCCATTTCTGCCACCGTATCCTCCTTGGTTACTGTTTGAAGACCGATATTGATCTCTTTCATCACGTTGGTTGGAACCTTGGTGGCTTGAACGAGCGTCTCCGCGATTGTCCGAATACCCTCCTCGGTTACCACCATCGCGTTGAGGGTTTCCAAACTCTCCACGTCCGGAACCATTTCCTCCGTACTGCTGACGTTCATCTGGTCGACCGTGGCGATCATCAGGACGACCATGGCGATCATCAGGACGACTATGGCGATCATCAGGACGACCATGGCGATCATCAGGACGACCAGTGCGATCATCAGGACGACCGTGACGATCATCTTGGCGACCGTTGCGATCATCTGGACGACCGTGGCGATCGTCTTGACGTCCATAGTTTCCGGAGCTGTTTGCGTTGGAGCGTTGACGATCGTAATCCTGGTGCTGGGACTGTCCGCGATCCTGATACTGGCTGGATCCGCGATCCTGATTCTGGCCCTGCACACGATTTCGATAATTTCCTGATCCACGATCCTGATTATCGCCCTGTGAACGATTTTGGTGATATCCTGATCCACGATCCTGATTATCGCCCTGTGAACGATTTTGGTTATATCCTGATCCACGATCCTGATGATGGGACTGTCCATGATCTTGGCCACGATCCTGGAAGTGACCTTGTCCGCCGCGACTTTGATATTGGCCACCGGCTCCACGGTCATAGCCTGAACCGCTGTCGTTTTTCGGATCCTGACGGCCGCCGCCATCTCGGTCATCACGACGTTCATCGCGGCGATTGAAGCCCTCGCTGTAATTACTTCGGTAACCGTCTCCTCCACCAGAATTCCCGTATTGCATGCTCATGATTAGGCCTGCAAATTATTTTTGATAATTTGAACTGAAAGAAACGATACATGACAAAAAAAATTCGAGGGGGAAATACGAGCCCAAAAGCAGCTGAACAAGTAGGCGAGGAGAGAAAAAAGTAGCGAAGAAGACGCGCCAACATTAAAAAATCCGCGTGTAGACAGGAGAGAGCAGAGAAAAAACGCTACGTCTCTGGCTACCTCGCATCGTCCATGTGGGAAGGCGACCATGGGGAAAGCAACCTTTACACTATGTGGACAACAGAGTGAGGACAGTCAGAGGAGGGAAAAGGGGGCGTGGCTTAATGTACAGAGAAGATGGAAGGAGAGGTGTGGATGCATAACCCACACCGCATGACACACTAAGCTCCTGCTTCAGTAAATCTGGCGAGGAGCGCACTAATTAGAATGTGAGTGAGCGAAACAGGAGCCCAACTCTAGAAGTCTCTAGATCACCAAACGTATAATTTGAAATCTCACAAGGAATAAATACTTCAAAATAGAATACACCAACTGCGAGAGATTATAAATACAAAGTCCAAACCGGAACATTGCTCACCCTTAACATCTTCAGTGAACCGATGACAAAGGGAGGATATTGAGGAGACGAAACAAACTGAGCACTTACTCGATTCGCATGTGTTTTGTCGAACTTTCAAAAAAGAATTAGCGCCTGAGAATCCGGGGGTACGACGAATTCGAACGTTTTCAAATTCGAACAGACCTAAAATCGAACTGATTCAATTCAGAACAGTCCTTTTTTCGCACACGTACCAGAACAGAACGCGGACAGAATCGAACTGTTACAAGTTCGAACTGGTAAGGAGTCGAACTGTCCCAAATTGGAACGCTGCCTGCAACAGAGCGCGCATGAAAGCACACACAAAACAGCGTTCCAATTTGGGACAGTTCGACTCCTTACCAGTTCGAACTTGTAACAGTTCGATTTTGTCCGCGTTCTGTTCTGGTACGTGTGCGAAAAAAGGACTGTTCTGAATTGAATCTGTTCGATTTTGAAAACGTTCGAATTCGTCGTACCCCCGAGAATCCAAAAGAAGCCGCCGCTTGTTTTGATCTACGAAAGCGCGAGAAACTGTAAAGCGCGAGAGACGAAAACGCGAGAAACAAAAGCGCGAGAAACGAAAGCGTGAGAAAGGGGCGGGGCTTAACAGTCCGGTGCGGCGCATTGTAAAAGTAGTGCTCAAATGCTGATTTTCCTGTAAAAAAACATTAAATTACTGTAAATAGTCGGTAAAGGCATTAGACAAGCTATTCCAAAAACATTTAAAATATAGTGAAACTCTCAAAGTTGGACGGGAAAATGTTTGTAATAAATCGTTTGTATCATCTTTTTTTTCGTTTCCGAGCTAAAAATTGAAATAGCAAACAAGCAATAAGTAACCCATAAATGTGTTCATTGCTTTGTCAGACATGCTCCATTACTTATTTCAAATTTTGTAGTGGAATCGTTTCACTGTGAAGTTAAAATGAAGACTTCTAACAAACGACTTATATTCCGGAAACGCCAAAGCTCAATACATGATTCTGAATGACATTGAGGTGCAAAAGTATAAGAAAATCCATTTTTTCTCGAATACTCGAAAAGATTAGAAGATTGAATGTGCTGCTCGCGAATATGAAGCTAAAAAAGAATTGTTCCAATTGAAACAAGTTCTTCTGTCGATGAAAATCCCTCCCATCAGATATATCTGTCATTTCATTCATTAATTCACTGAAAAAGCACCGGTTGAATACTAATTTTACAGTGCCCCGCACCGGACTGTTAAGCCCCGCCCCTTTCTCGCGCTTTCGTTTCTCGCGTTTTACAGTTTCTCGCGCTTTCGTAGGGCCTCCAGACTTGAGAATGCCTCGTTATCGCAATTTTCGCATTTTCTGAAATTCAGTTCTCCGATTAAAAACGGATTCTAGAGATGTTGGTGATCATATTTCTACCAGAAATCCCTAATTCGGAAATTCACACTAAACATTGAAGCGGGGCTCGCAAATCGACAGGAGCGCCATTTGCGAGAGGCAGTATATTTTAAATTCGTAACCAATTAAGGATGAGTAATTACAGTAGTAATATGCGGACTATTGAATGAACCCATTAGTTCGTTTGGTGTTGCCGTATGCAACTCAACGCTTGGAAATGTCCAAACAACTTTTACATCTGATCAGATTCTGTTTTCTGAACAAATATTAACAGGTAAGGGTTGAGACAAAATTAAATAAATGCGACGATATATTGAGACGTCCAATAACCTGAATAAAACAAAAAAACTGGAGTATTCTTTTTCTATTACTCTCAAAATATGACATGAAAAAGCACGATTCTTACAGCAGCAACAAAACGAAAAGAAAAAAAAAGTAGATGATGCGAGAGACGTATATGGAAACCATTATTCGAGAGCAAAGAAGAAGAATCGGTCGACTTATTTGGCGGGGGAGAGGGAAATTGGCACGGCATCGCGGTTGGGAACCTGAAAAACGCGCGCTTCGTTGCACACAAAAGTTGGCTGCGTGCCAGATTCGAAAATTTTGAAACGTGTTTTGAAAAACTTGAAGTTAAGCGTTGTTGAGTCGCTACTCACCGAAAAGCCGCGACGCAACCGCGCTACGCGTCCAAACTTGGCGCGCTTTCCAATTTTTAAATCTAGGTTCCCTTCCGCGAGGCCGTGAATTGGGGAAGGCACCGGTATTCAGAGTGTAGAGGGCGGGAAGAGGAAACAACGAGAAATTATTTGGCTACTTGGGTTGTATAAAATTACAGAAGCTATCGCTTCGATACGAAGTAAATGCATAAAACGGTGTAAACGAAAAACACAACAAAGAAAAAAATTAGCCCGATTTAGGATCCGTCGTTTTCGTCGATGATGATTTGGAGTTTTGCTGAAGGGTGGACGTCACCTGGAACAATTCGTTAAGAAAAAATCACTAAAATAATTTATCTGTTTGTGCTAATCTTGATGTCTAGTCAATGTACCTTTGTATCGACATCAGGAATATCAACTGTTCCATTTTCTACCTGCTGCTTTCTTTGTACCTCTTCTTCTAATTTCTCCGTGTCTGCTCGTTTCGTCTGTGGTAATCCTTGTGGTTGGTTGAAGGCGTCGGCAGAAGATGGTCCCTGTAAATAGAATTATGTGCTCGGAAAGAATTGTTTTAAGCTTACTGTTGGCAGAATAGGCATTTGATAGTTTCCAGATTGAACTTTCCTGATTTCCTCAGTCAATCCAGCCACTTCGTCCTCTTTCTTCAATGTTCCAATCATCGAAGCCATTTGAGCAGCAGAGACATGAACATCCGTATGCTTTTCGAGCAGTTCGATGACTTCCAACACCAGTTGTTTGTCGACGATTCCATCAGCATCTTCATCAATAGCTTTCAAAAGAGTTTCGATTCTTTCTCTCTGTTCCACGTCATCCACTTTCTCTCCCTTGCTTTCTTTCAATTTGGCCAGTGAATCGATAACGTCTTGAATTCTAACTTCCCGTTCTTTTTTGTTGTCCGCGCTGTTTTCGACAGCTGGATCGATAAGCATTTCACGGATGTTTCTCTTTTCGTCTTCCAGTTTATCAACCATCGAATCAACATCTTCAATCATGGAGTTCAGTTTGTGACGGAGGCGTTTGGCGATCTTCGTTTCAGCGAATGCACCATCCAAGGAATTGATCTCCATGAGGTCTTCCTTATGTTCCAGAACCTTTTCACGCAATCCAAGAATGTCGTGCTTCGCTTCCTTGATAGGTCCACCAACAATAATCTCCTCAATATGAGAAAGATCCTTCTTGTCCACGTGGATATCTTCTTTCTTTGTCTCCTTGGCTTCCACTTGCTTAGCTGCAGTTTCCTTCGCTTCTGCTGTAGATGAAGATGCAACGGCTGTAGCGATGTGCTCATTCAATTCATTCACAATCGCCTCAGCAGCGACATCTACCAATCTCTCCTTCTCGGCCTCCTTCTCCTTTTCGGCTTCTTCCTTCGACTTGAGTGCAGCTTCTGCATCCTTCTTCTTCTTCTCCTCTGCCTTCTTCTCGTTGGCAATCGCCTGTTCAATCGATTTGATCAACTCGATACGAGCCTTGTGATCAATTTGTCCTCCTTCCATTTCTGTGAGTTTTTGTACAGTAGTTTCGGCGAGTCCGTCTGGCAAGTTTTGAACAATAGCTTTGAGGCGATCTGGGAATGACACTTCTTCTGGGAGGTACAGAGTTCTGCAACAAAAATACATTTTCACTGGTTTGATCTTTTAAAAACTTACCTCGAAAGAAGAAGCAGAGCTGGCGGAACTTTGTCATTTAGTGAGAGCTCCAACCACTGAACGAGTTGCTCTTTAAGTCTTTCTTCACTCACTCCGATGGCTCTCATTCCACGTGCACGACAGGATGATTGCAAATCGATCGAACTGAGAGCATCTACACCTCCTTCAGCGGCAATCTGCTTATCGTCAGCTTTCAGTTCTCGAATCTTCATGTTCAGTTGGAATCTGAGAATTTCCGGAGATCCCAATGAGTTGATGCTCATCAAACGACAAAGGGAACGGAGTTGTCCCATACTCAAGTTATCAAGTGTTAGCTCATCTTCGAAAAGCTTCGAGAACTTCAGGAGTTCCTCGTTAGACACGTATCCACCTTCGTTTCTGACTTTTTTAATAAAAAGAGCAAACTCAAGCGAACGAGTCGATTCTTTGTTGCGAGTTTTCCTTTCGAGACCAATCTCTTCAATCGTATCTTGCAGGAACTTGGCCATTTCGACACGAAGTTTCACTTGCTTCCTCCATTTCTCTTCCTTAAAAATGTATATACTAAAATTTGAAATCTATTTTTAAACCCACCTCTTTGCTTGTCTCCTGGAAAGTACTTGGCAACATTCCGGGAAACAGTTTAATGAAAATCGGTAGAGCCAACTCCATAAATGGGACAATGATGAAGAAAGAGAATGGTACGAGTCGGAATAGATCGGAAACTGTTCGGACGAGTTGTTGTCGTTCACGACGTGTCAGTGTGGCTCCTCGAAGTACTCTCCACAGATATTTAGCACTCACACGCGTTTCGAGAGCTAACAATCGGAATCCATGATAGTAGTGTTTTAATTCGTGCATAATTCGATCCTTCAGCGGTGGCTTTACTGTCGCAACTTCTTTATCTGATTTCATTAAACTCAACACTTTCTGGGCTTCTTCATCTTGTTTCTGCACGTCTTCTCGTAGCATTTTTAATGTATATTCAACTTTACTTCTGTCTGTGGCTGCATACCTGGAATGAGACAAAGGACTTGAAAACTATATCAAAAAAGAAGAACCTCAAGCTTGTTGTGTAGAGTGAATTTGTTGCGATTTGTGGATAAAATACCCGATTCCTCTGGCCGGCGATAACATGTCTGTACGCGAATCGTCCTAATTGGTAGGATTTAGAGGCGTGCCGTAAATTCATTCTAACAGTATTCGTTTCTTTTTCACTGGATTCTCTAAAAATTGATAATGCTTGGTTGACATAGAAAAAGAATATGAGTGAAACAATAGATGAGAAAATGACGCAAAATTGTCTTTGAGAGAGAAAAGATAAAGTCTGAGGGGTGCGAAATTTCGCAATCTGATATGCACCGGTTAGAGGATTTCTACTGTTCCATTCAGTTTGATTCAATGCACAAATAAAAAACTAACAGGAGAGAAACAATCAATGCTTATTATAACGACATACCACTGATTTACAAAAGCTCTTGTTAGCTTCCGGGATACAATGGAATAAGATACTAATGAAATTTAGTAATTTTACAGGTGAAAATCGATATTGTACTCATCTAAACAAGTTTTGAAGAATGGAAGCCAAGGGTGCGATTGCAACAAACAAAAACAATTTTTGACAGGAGTACTCTGCGAAAGAAAATATATTTTTGGCCATGGAGCGCATTTTCGCCGGAACAATGTTGAGTGTTCTATGAAATTGAAAGCATCATAGATTAAACCGCAAAGAATACACCAAGAAATGGTGTCGAGTTTATACGAACATAGAAGAACGGCAATCCCACAATTGGGAGAAAAATTGAAATTTTTTGCTGCTCTCTGACATATATTTCGATTTTTTATGTGAAAATCGTTTTGACAGAGAAAAATATTGAAAAATAGAGAAAAATGCATTTAAAAACGCTCATGCGTTTTGCAGAATTGAAACTGCTAACTACTGTAATTTCAAAGGCGCATACGTTTAAAACAGTTTCGGTTCAAGTAATTTTTACGAATTCCTAATATGTGCCTTTAGGAATCGACTACTGTCATTTTGCAAAAAAAAAATTGATCCGAATTTGTTTTCCCTCTTTGTTTTGTTTTTCTGTTTCCGGAATTGATTTTTGTCGTTTTTACCTAATTTTTTGTTGTAAAGATTATTTTTCTATTTAGCATTTTCTTGACCTCTTTTTATCCGTTTCACACTACGTGCATCTCAAAGACTCATCTTGATTATCAGTGATATCACGCGATTGAAAAAAAAAACTTTCGATTTCGCTCCCAAAAATCAAACAAAGAGGTTAGAGAAAGACTTTCTGGAGTTCAGTTAGCAACACGTGTTTCTTTGCATCACTGTCACTAGGTTATCAGTAAAAGTAATCCGCGTAAAATGGACGAAAAGGAAGTTTAAACAGAATCGATAGGCAATAATGATTGATGCTTGATAAACAGCAGTTGAGCATATGAGACAATGCGGAGCTATCCGCGCGGAACGTCCCGAACGGAAAACTGACGTCACTCATGCGTTTCTCAATAAGCATGATTTTCCAATGATCCAATCGAGCTCCTCTTTCCTCTTCAAACTCTTCGCTGTCTCTTTAACAAAAGCAAAACGAACACAAAAACAAAGCGATCGTATAGTCGAGCAATGATTTTTTTGCTGGATTGCTCTTTTTCGCTCTCTGTTCTCGTGTGTTGTTATTTTGATTCTTTGATTGCCTCGAATTTAGAAGTTTTCATGGACCTTCTACCTATTGTCGTAGTTCTAATGTGTCATTCATTCAAATGTTTGAAAGTTGTTGGAAATTGACATATTTTTTCTTTGGTCTCCTAAATTCTTTCAGCTTTTCCAGAGATATAGTTACATCGGAAAGAAAAAAAACACCAACTGAATCACTGCAGTGGCCAGACCCATTCAGTCGATCTCCTGATTTTTCACCCGAACCTCCCATCTGTAATCGACCTGTATAAAGGCGAGGTCCTTAGAAGCAACGTGACTAAACTTCTTTCATTTGATAGCTTATCACACCACCTGGTGGTTTATTATCTTTCACTCTCGAACCAAGAAATTTTTCAAGTTCACATAGTACTATCGTTTCGAGAGAAAATACTAGGTACCAGTTTGAAGATAACATTATTCAGTTCAGATTCGATTTCCCGGAGGAGGGATGTTCGGAAAGAAATTTTGAAAATTCCGACTGTATTTAACATTACAGATTTTTTAGTGTTTTCATCACTAGGGTATGGCAAAGGCTCGCGAGAAAAGTTTACTTGCGGGTCTCGAGCGGAATTGATTGTAATATTTTTGTTGCCTTTTCGAAATCTGTTCTTGCACCAATTTTTTTGCACCAATTTTTTTGCACCAATTTTTCGCGCTCCTCTGTTAAGAAATTCCAAATTATGAAAGTTTTGCTACTATATTCCGAAAAATTCCGAGAAGGCCATAGCGAGCATCCCTGCAGAGAGCGTCTGGATTCCTTTAATGTGCTCTAGTTAATCAATTTCAAATTCTATCCATTTAATGAGTATCAACGACCGTTTCCTCTTATTCTCCTTTAGCTCGAATTTGCACTCCAAATCAAATGCCCACTTTCAGCCTCCTCTTCTTCGGTTCTTTTCGAAACGATTTCAAATTTTCAAATGAACTCTATTACTAGCTATCCCTGTCTGTTCTTCGCGCTATTCTCATCACATGATCAACGATGGCGCCATGACGGAAAGCGAGTGGTGGGTGAAAAAAAACGGAGAGAGAAATCGTCGGCAATGTATGCGAAAGCGGGCGACCTCGTGGTCTGAAACACCCCACGTGGTTGGCGACAATGTGTTCCGTATTTTAGTACGAGACCGATAAAGTTGAAGGAGATAGAGAAAGAGCGACAGAGTGTAGTTTTTGGCAGGATGCCAAAATGTGCGGAGAGTGCTTTGGATTAGTCATACACGCGTGGCAAGGGGCTCTAGGTTCCATAAGACTAGAACTCATGCATATTCCAGTGGGAGACCTAGGCTAGTGTTCCAAGAAGAATTTAGTTGTGCTGTGTTTTAACTTCGATCATCTGATAGTTTGATCTTCATTCCAAAGAATAGTATATTTTAAGAACTATGTCCCACCGGAGACACGCGTCATTTCTTTCGACCATTATCTTCATAAATATCTAGATCGTATTCCATCCACACTGTTTGGCGTTTTGCGAAACTTAATTCCTGTGGCAATTCTTCTTTAAATCACCTCGTATTTGATTACTGTAGCTGTTATCAGCCCAAATAAAAGGCATTATCAATTTCAAATTCAAACGATATTTAGAGTTTCCATTTCTCTTTTCGCTCCCAAAGATGAATTGGTCGGTTCCTTCCGCGCCAGATGTGGGCGTCTTCCACCACCCTCTGCTCCCCACCAATTTCGCGCACTTTCCCTTTTATTCACCGAGTCTCATTTGAATTTGCATGGCCCCCAAAATATCGCAGTAATCTACTCGTCGCACGCTCTCACCACACGGAAAGGTCTCAATCGGTTGTTTTTTCACTTCTTTTCCGTCTAATGTTTACTCGCATTCATTCTTGTCTACTATTGAAAAAACCACGACCCTTCGGGTCTGGGCGTTTGAAGTAACACGACGATTTTAGGTCGCGACATTAAAAAATATTTTTGCAGAAGATCAGTATTTATAAGTTCAAATTGTGATGTTTATTAATAGTTTGATGAATCAGAAATTTGGTTGAGAAATAGTTAATTTGTTGTGTGGTCAGCGACCCTTCCTCTTCTCCAGTATAAGAATATGATCAGATCATCACGCGTTTCTATTTGTTTTATTTTTGTCCATGAAATATATTTACAATCAAGATCTTCTTTCTCGGCTCCGAAATCCGGAAAGCGATGTTTCTATTGGGGTGGCGGCTGATATCTTCCTCTTCTCGACAAGAGGGCTTCCCCCACCACGTGCTGATTCCCACGGCGGGAGGTTGACGTGATAAAAAAGAGAGAAAAGTGAAATGTGTTAGATGAAATGGGCGGAGTCGATAGTCACGTGGTCTAGCGGAAAGACGATCAGACATACATACTTGCGCTTGGCATTGAACAATTAGTTGTTTTAGTCTTTGCCTTTTGTTGTTGGTTTCATTTGTGTAAAAATGGGCTTTGAACTCAGAGTTCAACTTAGGTGCTATTTTTTCCGAGGATACTGTAGGACAAGTGATATATCGAGTTGCCGTATTTCCTCTATTAGAAGCCCAACAAAATCGTTCACTTAGAGCTCAATTATCTCGATTCGTATGAGAGATTCATCGTAATAGCACCAGTATTTTGTCGGTTAATATATTCTTGAAATTTTTCAAATTGAGATAATTGAACTCGAAGTTGACGATTTGAGTAGACTTCTTTAAGAATGAATACGACAGGTTGCATTCTAAACAAGAGCGTCTATTTTATGACGATGTCTCTAAATACCATAGGGATAAGATCCTTTTAAAATTCAACTATGCGAGAGTTCCCATTCCTCGTATTCGATAATGTTTGTTCTCTCGACAACAGAAACCATCTGACTTTTTCCTGGTAAGTCGGATTATCGATGCCAACTAGCGAATTTATGTTGCTGATTATAATGTTTGTGGAAAAAAACTGTTCGAATTTCGAACAATCAAACTGGTTCGTCTATTTCAAGTTTTGATCAAAGCAAAACCATTTTTAGAGTTGATATTACAAACTGTTTGTAAATAACCTTCATTGTTCTTCTTCTTCTTCCCGTTCTTTGGGTGATGCAGTTGAGGTCTTCTTCGTTTGCAGAAGGGTAGCTACCAATCATGATCATGGCCTCCATACATACACCAGAAGTGTAGTGTGTAATGAACAGAACATTTTTTGGGAGAAGAAGAAAATAGAAAAAGAGATGATGATGTGATGGCGTGATCTACCAAACCCCCCACCTCATGTTGTTCTTTGGGATCCCGTTTACTATACACAACACACCTTCCCCCCAGGACCTGGGGGAAGGGCTTTGTTTATAACACTTCATATCACAACAGTTTCGTTTCTCTCTCTCCATACTTGGTCACTTTTCTCACGCCTTTCTTCTTTTTTTCTCGCCACCGTCCCTCTCTCCTGTCACTGATCGCCTCTTATCACTTATCACCTCGGGGTCGCTAAAAAAGAGTGACCATCGTACTTTGTACATTGGATAGGAAAAGCTGGAGGGCGATGAGGTGAGCGACTAGGCTACACGTTGTTATTTCCTGCAAAAAAAGCGGTTCGGGTAAATAAAGCGGGCGGAGCAGAAGAAGAAGAGAATGCCTGCTGATAACATCCACTGATAACATGTTGGCTGTGGCTATCAGAGGACAAGTGTTGCTCCCTGCCATTCGTTCGTATATTTTTAGGTTTTTTCCCCAGAATCAGGATAATCTCAATTTTCCACTTCTTAAAGTTCTCCAGCATTATACATAGTTAATCCTAGGATTTAAAATTTCTGATCTTCTTCACATCTTCATTACAAATGCACATACGCAAAGCCTCTTCTTTTGGTCAGCCGACTTGAGGATTCTTCTTTTGAAGCCCTAACCAATGCACACATCCGCCTAGTGCGCCATACCAAGTTTGCCATTAGATCGTATTTGACTTGTCCGCGCGATTCACAAAAACGGAACGCTCATGTCCCACAAACAAGTTCCTATAGGCCATTAACCATCATCTTTTCTTCTTCGTGCCCCGTGTCTTCTGAATACTAATGCAACTGGATTGTGCGAGATGCAGGAGAGACGGCGAGTTGATTGGTCATCCACAACTACCCCCGCTCATTTTTTTTTCGTCTCCTCAGTTTCCTCTTCTTCTCCGATCGTTTGTACTTTTCATCGCCTCTCACTTCTCCAAGTCCTCATCATTGCCTATCTTCATCTCTACATTTCTCACTCCCTCTTTCTCTCTTCTCTTTTTCTCTGTTCATATGTCCAGTCTGCTCCTCGTTTAGTTTTTTCCCGCAATAGTGTTTGTGCAAAAAGGGTTTCTTGTGTTTCTTCTCACCCACAAAGCAGTTGCCTTAAATTCTCATTTATTATTATTTTTGAAATGTTTTCTAGAATTCTGAAAATGATTAATTGATGTCTGAAAACCAAAAAATTAGACGACCATACATAGGCACCGCAATGAAAGGGGGCGGGGCGACCAAATTTTTCTCCCCTTTTCAGAAATCCATCTTTGAAGGCTTGTACCGGGCGTTAGAAACCCATTATTTTTTTGGTGAGAACTTGTCCCTATGTAATCGACTACGCTGAATCCAATGAAATTATCAGTTCTTCGATAACTTTATTATTTTGATTCGAAAACTTCGAAAAATAGAAGTGGGACTGACAAAGTGGACTAAAAGTGTTGGATGGAAGTTCGCGCCATTAGATTTTTTAATGGATTCTGATAGTTTTTGAACTGGGGGATTGGATTTTGAAATAAAATCAAAATTCTAACGACGCCCTTGTTTCACAATTTTCAGCCAAAATTCCAGCTAAAATAAATAAAAAATTTCAGCGATGACCCCAATTTTTTTTTGCATATTATGGTAAAACTAAGTCTTGTGTATACTTCTGCCAATTTTCAGAAAGATTGGATACCTCTAAGTAGTTTTGATACTCATCCGAAAATTCCAAACTTTCAAAATTTTCAGTTTTTGAAAGTTTTGAAGGTGACACAGTGAGCGCCACCGATTTTCTTTTCACCATAAGATTCTACGCAAAATTTGCCACTAAGAGCAATTATAATTAAAAAATTCTATCGACGCCCTTAATGTGTTATACGTCTGTTTCCTTATCTATCATGGAACAACTTGTAAAAAATAGGAAAGAGGCAACACCGGAAGGAGACGGCAGGCAATGAAAAGTCGTCCTTTCCTCACTCTCATCTATTGATTCCAAGGGAAGTGCAGCGGTGGCAGACTGGTTAGTGGGCGCGCGCACCGATCTGAAGACCGAAGTTCGCATCTCCCATGGGGTTTTTTGTTTTTTTTTCCTTTTTTCAATGTTATAAACTTATTCTTTTCGTTTTTTTACCCTAAAAACTGCTTTTCCGACAAACCATGATGCGATTTTGATGAAAAAACAGCGCTCGGAATAGCGCCACAATGAAACCGCGCCGCAGCTAAGCCCCGCCCACTTTTCTGCGCACCGCAAAAAAATGAGGAGAAATTCAGTACATTGAGGTCTGGTATAAAAGGGGCTGTAACTCGGGATTGAATGAAGATTTTTCCCTGAAATTTTGGGAATGGACTTCTATAAAGTAGGAGAATACAATCCAACAATAAAAACTGGGAAAAGTCTATTTTGAAAATTTTGTTGTGGTGCCTAACCATACATCTTTTCTATTTGTTTTCCCATTTTGTCGGGGAAAGTTCAATCTTGCGAAACCTTCACCTGATTTTGTACCAATATAAGTTAGATGTCTAGGCCTGCTTTTCCATGATCGATGTTTTAGGACGATTAGAATATTCCTTCTCTCCTAAACACGGTGATTCATAGCTCAATGTATGTTTCTTTGTTACGATCACACCCATTTCGCAACGATTCTCTTTGTTTTTTTTCTCCTCCGCACATTAAGAACTCGCCCGTATACTTTCACCTCTCCATCATTTCTGTTCTATTACCCCATCATCTGTGTTTTCGTTCGTTGAGCTTTCGCTCTTTATCCCTTCCAACGTTTTTTGCAATAAAAATCAATTTCCGCTGCACAATCTTGTTTGTAACGTCGATGACATCTTCATCTGTCTACCAACAACAACACCTTGTGGCTGTGTGACCTATCATTATGAAATGTGAACTTTCGACTCTCACCAGTGTCTATAAACTCCCTTCTTCACTTTATCTTTTCAAAATCACACTTCAACTTCTGAACTCCTTTCTTCTTCCCAGTCTATCATCCCAGTTGTTTTTTTTTCAATTTTCCGAGAAGAAACAACGAAACGCGATATTTCTCTCATAGTCCATCAACTATCTTTTCTCTTTCATTTTCTCTTATCAGTTGGTGTAAAATGAGAGTGCGAACATTGTTCTGTGATCGAGAGGGCACTCCTTCGCCCCGTCATCGTTATCCTTGCGTTGTCAATGAAATAAACCTCATTATCTATTTTCAGACAGGTTCTTCGGGTCACCCCTCCCCCTTCCCCCCACCCCACACCATTCTATCCGACTCATCTTATTATCAGTGATACTCGGATGTGCTAATTGGACAAAGACAGATGGATTACGCATATCGTATGCTAAAAAATGTCAAATACTTCTATAACTCGATTAACCCGGCCACACTTTCAGGTTTGAAATTGAATATCCTTTTCCCCCAAAATTATATAAAAATATGTTTCAGGAGCCATCGATGTGGTAGTCGTGGAGCAGCCAAACGGAGAGTACAAGTCAACACCATTCCACGTTCGTTTCGGAAAGTATGGAGTCTTCAGCTACAGCGACAAGTATGTGGATATCGCAGTTAATGGTGTCGAAATTGATCTTAAAATGAAGCTGGCCGACAGTGGAGTCGCGTTTTTCGTAGAGGAAGCCGACGACGAAGTGCCCGACTACCTTCTGACATCGCCTTTACCCGAACAGGACGTCCCTCAGATTGGTGGACCCGGAGTGGAAAAAGTGTTAGCAGAAAGCGCTCGTAAATTGGAAGAAACTCAGAATGAAAACGGAGACGTTGAAATGAATGAGATGGCGAAAAGCAGATCATCGAGTCCAGATGGTGGACAGGGAAATGCTAGAGAGCCGAAGCAAGAGCAATCATTGAGTCAAGTGCAGAGGAAGCAAACGCTCCCCTTCTCTTCTTCAGTTTTCAGTGATCGTCGATATCGATCATTGCCAGATCTTACAGCTCTCTCCGCAGAGAATGATCATTCGGATGCCGTTGCTGAAACTTCGGAATCCAAAAAATCAGATGAGAAGAAGACGAGAAAAGCGCCACGTCCATTTGTGCACTCTCACTCGCAATGCTCTCCAATGGAAAAGAAAATGTTCCATAAATCGAATGAAGAACTATTGCGCATTTTGAGCCGCGAAACTCGTAAGATGGATCGCTGTGTTCCACTTCGCAAGAAGAGTCGTGTAACTTTCGAGAAGCCCGCTACTCGTCCAATTGATATCCAGATTCAACCATTCAATGGTTCAGATTCGGATCTTGATTCGTCAGTCAGTTCATCTCCCTCTCCGTCCATTGTCGATCAACGCGAGGCAGACCGAATTGCTGATGGCGCTCTCTCAGATTCTGAAGTCGATCGTCAACGGGACCGCAATGCCACACCAGAGCCACATGATGTAACGGACTGGAAATGGGGAGAACTTCCGGAGACCAGAGAACTCAACAAAAGGAAGAAGGAAGAGGAACAGGCTAAAAATGCATCGACTTCAAGATGGAGTTGGTTGTGGTCGTCTTCACCATCTACCGCCAATCAAAAAGCCAAAGACACAGAGTTGCCAGAAGAACAAGGAATCCCACTTGGAGAGCTTTTGAATTCTGCTTCCGATCCAGTTAATATTGAGAAGTACCTTGGAAAGCCACCCAGTGTGTGAGTTATTTTTATTTAAATAGGATTAGTTTGCAAACAACTAACTATTTGAATGTGTTAGACGTAGTCGTAGTTTCAGAGCCTCTATTGACAGTGGAAACGTTTCTCGTGGAGTCTCTCAACCATCATCTCCAATTTCCAATCATGACGATTTCACACCAACAACGACGCCTCCAAACGATAAGACGCCAACTCGGGAGAGTGTTCGGTTTGCCGCTGGCACTGATATTTTATCTACTTCCACAGCTAACGCCACTGGAATTAGATCGCGTGCTTCTTCAGATGACACTTTGTGAGTGACTTTATCCTTTCAAGAGCATGTTAGTATTGCTGCTAAGCTCTTGTGTATTAGATTGTGTTCTCTAACACAGGTTCAACTCTTGTTGCATTACAGCCCACTCAGCGAAGACGAGCTGGATGAGAACTTCCGTCCACAATACATGCAATCTCTTCGTCTCTCATCTGAAAAGCTGAAGTCGTTGGGCCTTGTTCTTGGTGCCAACGAGCTCCGCTTCTCGATCACAACTAAATTCCAAGGAACGACGTGGTGCAGTTGTAACATCTACCTCTACAAATGGTACGAGCAACTTGTCATCTCCGATATCGACGGAACTATCACCAAGTCTGATGTTCTCGGTCACGTCATTCCGGCTATTGGAGGTACATGGGCTCATACAGGAGTCGCTGAATTGTACACTCGTATCAAAAATAATGGATACAAAATGGTTTATTTGTCATCTCGTGCGATTGGACAAAGTCACACTACGAAACAATATCTGAAAAGTGTGGCTCAAGACTCAAAACAGTTGCCTGATGGACCGGTGTTGCTCTCTCCAACCAGTATTATCACTGCTTTTAGAAGGTAGAATTGAATAGCATCCAAAAATATATGTTATTTTTCAAGTTTCAGAGAAGTCATCGAACGGCGTCCAGAAGAGTTCAAAATTGCTGCTCTGACTGATTTGAAACAATTGTTCCCAAGTGGCAACCCGTTCTACGCTGGATTCGGAAACCGTAACACTGACGTCGTTTCGTATGAAGCCGTTTCTGTCCCAGCCGCCCGAATCCTCATTATCGATCCAAGTGGAAAAGTAAAGAGATCAGATTCATCTGGGCTTGCTCTCAGCTACAAATCGATGGCTACGGATACAGTGGATTACATGTTCCCTCCGCTTTCTGTTCAGTACGTTTTACTTTCACTTTTCACCTTTGACAGCCTATCTCAAGTTTCAGTGTGAAAGACGATGCTCGCAAGACGGAACGTCTCACGTCGGCATGGAGCAAACCATTGGAGCACAGCAACTTCACGCATTGGCACGTTTCACCAAACGACGTCCTTGATGAGGAGCTTCTGCAGTATGAAACTCATCGGAAGACTTTGATTGCAACACAAAAGTCTAGAAAGTAGACACTGACTCAGTTCTCGCATAACTATCCTTGTTCATTTGTTTAGTTTTGTTCCACTTTTTTGTTATCATGCCAAAGTCCGCACATTCCCTTACCCTCTGTTCCATACCAATAATTTTTTGAAGATCTCTTTACGACTTCATCCTTTTTACTGTTTTGTTGTTTTCCCTCCTTTGTGGGAAGTATCCCAAAGTCTCATTGCTCATACTAGTCAATTTTCAAGTTTACCTCTTCTCTTTTTTTTGTTGTACATCGTCATCATCATCCCGAACCAGTTATCCGCATTTCTTTCCTTTTTTTTCCGAACCAACTCGGTATTATTATTTTTGAACTCTTTCTTGTTGCCCTCTGCCTTAAACTCCCCGTCCGTCTCACTTTTGTTATTCCAGATGCATTTATTATATATTCGCTTCCCCTGACCCGAATTTTATAATATTTAATTTTAAATTCAGTTTTCCCCCCAAGCCCTCACATAAATGTACATTGCAGTCGGAATGCTTGTACATATTATATGCCACACTTGATTGCTCCATGATTCTCCTTTTACGTGTTTCTCATATGGAGACTGTAATGAATATGTTTTACACTTTTCCGGCTTTAAAAAATTCTAGAAAACACCACGACGACTTCTAAATGTTCGCTTGAAAAAGAACGAGAGAGAAAAGAAAAAATTGTTGACGAGGTTCGTTTTGATGTTTTAGAGAGGAGCGAGGAGACCAAACATCTGATTATTTGTTTTCTTTTTTGTCGTCGCCAATACCATGTTTTTACGGCATTTTCTCTGCTTCTCTTTGAAAGAATGATGAATTTCTCTTTTTCAGTGTGTTTTTTTTTCTTTCAGTTTGTCACCATCTGGTAGAATATATACAGTTTTTCGCAGACTAATGCTAGAAGGAAAACTATCGTTTTGATTAGGAATTTCTTTAAAAATATGAATTTTATCCAGCAATGCATGAAAACTAAGTATTCTCAAAGTTTCTCATAATTTTCCAAGATTCTCATTGTGGTATCATTTCGAACATCTGTTTTTCATGTGACAAGTTATTGCTTTTCTTTTTCTCACAGGGACATCATGCTCATAAAAAGTCTAGGTTTTTGAAAGATCCCAGTTTTGTTTTTCCAATAATTCATTTTTTTCTGAATATTTTCGAGGTCAGAGTGCAAAACTTCTTACTAACTGTAGAAAAATTTTCGTTGATTTCAAATCACTGGGAAGATTGATAAGAGAAAAAGAAAAAGCAGAAAAACAACCATCTTCAACTTCATTGATAGTTTATGATCTCAATTTCAAAAAATTTAATTTAACAAAAAAGCCCACCAAATAATAATTTATCAAAGCTTTCTTTCAATATGTTCTACGTACTTTTTGTTATCTTGTTTGCTCTTTTCATTGTAATATCTCTTTCAGAAAAAAATCTTAAAATGGACTACGCTCATAGTATGATCAAAAAGCTGAAATGTGTTCATGACTCGATCAACCCTGCTACTCGATCAGGTTTCAACTCTTTTCAATCTCTCATTTTCCTCATGATTCATTTTCAGGAGCAATCGACGTCATCGTTGTTGAACAACCAGATGGTGAATACAAATCCACACCATTCCATGTTCGTTTCGGAAAGTATGGAGTCTTCAGTTGTAGCGACAAAATCGTGGATATTGAGGTTAATGGGAGATCAATAGATTTGAAAATGAAGTTGACGGAAAATGGGGTAGCCGTGTTTATGGATGAGGATACTGATGAGAATGGGCTGATTGAAAGAATATATCATCAGGAGAGAGATGTGGATCAAGCAGAGAGTAATTGTGAATTAGAAAAAACGGAAAAAGAACATTCCGAATTCAAAATCAAAGAAAGAGTTAGAAAGACTTCGACAAGTTTAAAGGATCTAAAGACAGCGGAAAAAGAAATTGAAGAGTGAGTTCATGGTTTTCATATTAACCTGAGAATATTAAAAAATTAAGACCATTGAGTGACGACGACTTGGATGAAAACCTCGATCCGGATCTAATCGAACATCTTCTGCTATCTTCGGAAAAGCTTAAATCATTGGGATTGTCTCTTGGATGCAACGAACTCCGTTTTCAAACCACAACTAAACTACAAGGAACTGCATGGTGTGTTTCCAATATCTACCTTTACAAATGGTACGAACAACTTGTAATCTCTGATATCGACGGAACGATCACAAAGTCTGATGTTCTGGGACACGTACTTCCAGTGGTTGGTGGTACATGGGCTCACAACGGAGTTGTAGAATTGTACAATCGGATAAAGAATAATGGATACAAAATGATTTATTTATCTTCAAGAGCAATTGGTCATAGCCATTTGACAAAGGAATACTTGAAAAGTGTGACTCAAAATTCAGAACATTTACCAGATGGACCAGTATTGTTGTCACCAACTAGCACAATGAGAGCATTGAAAAGGTTAGTCAGTTGATTTGATTTAAAGTGCGATGATTTCGTTTCAGAGAAGTCATTGATCGCTGCCCAGAAGAATTCAAAATCGCAGCACTGTCAGAACTAAAGAAACTGTTCCCGAGTCCCAACCCATTCTATGCTGGATTTGGAAATCGTGACACTGACGTCATTTCATATAAAGCAGTAGCTGTTCCAACTGCTCGAATCTTAATAATTGAACCCAGTGGAACGATAAAAAGATGGGACTCTTCTAGACTCGAACCCAGTTATACATCAATTGCCACGGATTCAGTGGATTATATGTTTCCTCCTCTTCCATTTCAGTTAGTTTCTAAAATCTTGGACTTTTAATATTCCAAAGAAGTTTTTCAGTTTGAAAGACCACAATGTCAAAAAAGAGCGGCATACATCTGCATGGAGTAAACCGTTGAATCACAGTAACTTCACACACTGGCATGTAATACCTGAAGACGTTCACGATGAGGAGTTGAAGGAGTACGAGGAGAAGAGGAGTGAGCTAATTGCTCAGCACAAATCAAAAAGTAAATTCTCAGGTGTTTTGTTTAGCTCTACCTGATATGGTTATGGGTCTCCCGCTATGTTTTCACTTTCTCCTGTTTCAGTATTTTTAAAATGCATTTCTCATCACTGTTTTCAAAAAAATCCTATTTTATGAAAGTCATTGAAAGCCTTCTACAGTAATCCAGTATTTTTCTACGGCTCTCCGTTAAAAGACTCACCTGGCCGTAAATTACGTCATTTGATTGACAGGTTATAAACATTTTGCAAAGGAGACGGATACATCTGCCGAGAGAGGAACGTCACACTTATTGCCCCCTGTACGCTTGTTGCGCGGCATGAAATTCGATACGCGATCGCCAGATGGACCAATCTGTCGTTGACAAAAAAGGATGACGAGTAGCAGAGAACAGTTGTCAAGAATAGATAAAAAACTTACGGCCAAACAACGAGGGACTATTATTTCTTACATACTGGAAAAGGAGGCCAAAACGGCTCCGGGTGGGCCCTGCCACAGTTTTTTCTAGGACCAACATTAGCTGACCAACTAAACGAGAAATCATAGAACTGGACAAGCACTATCGAATAATACGATTTGGAAAGCGGTATCTTGTCCATGAACAAAGGTAAAGGTCAAAAGAACCGCCAGAGCCCGGCCCAGATTAGCAGCTTTATGGCTTGTAACTTTGTTCATAACCAAGATAAAATTTCGGAATAGTGTCATTTTCGAAAGTTGAAAAGACTACTGTATGGAAAAATATTCGAAAATTGAAAGGATTCTTTTAGGGAAAAATATTCGAAACTGAGTTCTCGTCAAGTTCTATCGTGTTTAATTTAGTATGTCAACAATATTGATTTTAAAAAAAACTATGGGAACCCGTTTTCCAAGCATGTTTTCTTCCGGAGTTCATCATAACTATAAGAAAAAAACAGACAAAAGTAGGCGATCAACTTTTATTTCACAACTATAATAAAGCCAATAGATTTTCATTCAAAGAAAACTGATCATTCCAAAAGTTACAACAGTCAATGCAATCGTCAGTGGCAAGATTAGCACAATGAACAACTTCTTGTGACGCTCATCAGAAATCATCGGAAGTTTATCACATCTCGGAACCGTCGCTGCTCTAGACATTGCATTTTTTGTGACCCATGAACTTCTCTGTTTTAGCTGAAAACTAATACGATTTATTAGAAAACATGTGGTGACACTGACAATTCTTGCTACATTCTCAAAAGTCTCTGTATTCTCCCGAATTCCAAAAACTGTCCATCCTGGAGTCATGAGGATTCGTGGGTCTTTCTTACATGGAAGAGTTTTCTCCAGAAAGTTCATTCGTTGTTTGAACAGGTACGCAGTTGCATCACGGACTTCTGGATCCATCTCCGGTGGAAATGTACTTTTGCGAAGTTTGTTCAGTTCCATTCCCTTCAATTTGCAAAAAATGAGGGGCGGGTGCATTTTTGAAATCTGAAAATGTATTAGTCTCTCTTTTTCAACTTTTTGTTAAAAAAATCACCTCTGTCAAAATGGGAACATTATTTCTCATCTCGAACCTTGCATTTGCCTTGTACAACAATTTCTTCCGTCTCTCCATTTCCTTCCATCTTCTCTCGTTGTAATGTTTTTCAGAAGCTACTCGAGTGTTGTATCTTGTCTTGAATTCAATAGTCCTAGATGAACAAAAATTATGTAAACTATACCGTATCACCACCAAAGACCATCCGATGCTCCAGCTCCTTATCCACCAGTTTCCAATCAAGAAAATCTAATGGAGAATCGGTGGCAGCTGATGCGGAGCTATCACTTGAATATCCACTGACTGCACAGATAGAAGGAGCTCTTCTTGGGAAACGAGGGATTGTAGTTTGTAGTTCATTGTTCTCGTTGTCTAAAAAAATTGAATATGGCAAACTTTCGATAAGGATCACCGACAATTTACAACAGAAATAGCTGGGAAATAATTGTATCGAGACATTCGCATACGAATCAGGGGAGTCAGAATGCCACTCTTCTGAATGACTTCATCTTCTGCTGCCTCATTAACTCGAAAATTTCTGAGAACTCGGCAGAAATGAACAGAAAATGCCAGATGGGAAGAAATGTAGTTGAATTCGCTGAAAAGATCCTGGCAGACACGTCTGCGATACGGCATTCTACGATGGCCATTCACGACGTTTCCAGTCAGTCGATCTCGGCTGAATCTCAGAAGAATCGGTACCTGACAACATTTTGATCGCTCGTTTAGCCATTCATTATTGTGTCTCATGAACTTCTGAAATCAAAAAAGTCCCATTATCAGATTAATCTGCAAATCGTGGATGACATACCACAATTCGTCCCTTTGTCTCCTTATTCGTAAAGTTCTGATACGCAGCATGTGCCAATTGAGTTGCCATAGCTGTAGCTTCATCTCTCTTCGAAACAATCATTTGAGCGAAATACGGTTGAGCGGTTTTCTGCATTTTCGTGAATAGGGATCTTGGCGATTCTAACATCCGTTTTCCATAGTTCGAGTATTGTGGTCTCCATTTTCCCCGTATACGAAACTTCTCTCGTCGTCGACGCACTTGGAAACTCAGACATACAGCCAATCTGGGATTTTTCGGAATTAAATTAGAATTTTAAATCAAAGAACAGTCTATGTAGAACCCCTAGAAACTTACCCTGCTTTGAAATAATGTGAATCTCTTTTCCAACGAATCATATTCGAATAATGGTCGGCTCGACGGTGAATGTCGTACTTTGTGAGATCATCCATGAAGTTGTATGTCTTGTACAGATAGTAGAGGAGTTCCCCAGTTGCACCGATGGGAGGTTCGTAAACTGTCGCTGAGTAGCGTTTGGGCATTCCAACTTTGCTGAAAAAACTTAATTTTTTTAAATCAACTGAAATTTTACAAACTGTGCCCGGTTATCCATAATCTCTCCAAGAGGATCAATTTTCACAAATTGAGTATTATCCCCTCCTAGTTTCCTGATTTTGAAAGCATATGCCTTCTCTGTAGACAACATTGCCAGTTTTTTGGAGATCATCAATCCTTTGAAGGGTTCACGACGTTGCCGATTTGGTACTCGGACCACCTGCAAACTTCAGAAGTTGTAGTTTAAATTTCAGGTTAAGGATCACCTTTTTGTCTTTTTTCTTCGGCTCCTGCTGTTTCTTTTTTTTGCTAGAGACTTCTTTCATTGCTGGCTGATTTTTAGGTGTCTTTTTACTCTGAAATCAAAGCGAATGGGCAAAATTTAGATAGGTGGAGGAACTGACTTTTACCGAAATGTTCTTTGATTTTGGCTTTGATTTTGGCTTTGATTTTGATTTTGATTTTGCCTTCGATTTCAATGTCATTCTGTTTGGTGAAGGATAGGAATAGATCGAGTTCGGTACCAGACAGAGATGACTGTAGATCCACGTTTGGACTGAGTTTTAAGCAAATAGAAAAAACGTGAACTTGGGATTTTTAGGTGGCAATTTTTCAAAGGGATCAAGACTGATAGTAAGCCAATCGCAGCCGCGGCTGGCCGTGACTCAGGCCGGGGGTAGCCGGCGACCAATCAGTGAAAACGAAAACATGCTCAGCGACCCAGAAACCACCAGGGCCACCAGGCCGCCGTATCCTACCATTCCCAGATGTTTCCCAGCCAAAATTGAAGCGGCCGATCGTTGTGCATCCTTGAAAGGGGCTGATGTCCATGAGAAGGATTCCAGATCCATTCATAGATGGGGATAGTCTTCAAGAGTTCTAAGAATTAATAATTCAAAATGTTCTCATCACAAAATTTTGTACAAATGAACTTCCCCGATTGTGTAGTTCCCTACAGATCATTGACTGCATTTTCTCGATAACCTATTTTTCGGAAGAGTAGAGAAATCTTAATAAGATTGTTCAGATGACATCTTGACTACGATTCTGGCCGGTTAAATTTTTGAAGTCTTCGGATGATTACAATCTGTCTGGATCAGAGCGATTATAAAAATGATTACCCGAAAAGGACAAGAATTCAACATAGAAGAACTCACGAAAATGTATTTTTCGTTTTGGAAAGTACATACAAAACTGGAGAAAAACCTGCATGCGAAAAAATTGTCAACAAAAATAGATCGACGATTTCTTTATATTTTCAAATAACCAGGGTTTTGTTAGAAGTCGCAGCACATGAATTCCAAAGTTCTCCAATAAGTATTAAATTCTCAGAAGCCAAATTTTTAGGCAAATACTCATTAGCTTGATGATCTTTTGCTAAATGCTCACTTGCTAAATGTGCTCATTTGCTAAACTCGCTCATTTGCTCAAATAGTCTCACTTGCTAAATTTCATTTGCTAAATTTTGATCATTTGCTAAATAGAGGATTTGTTCAAATTGAAGGCTTAGGCTGAAACTACTTACCGGAAAACAGGTGTTTCAGCCTAAGCCTAAAATATAAAGCAAAAACCGGAATATTCTGTA